TGGAAAAAATAGCATTAACTTATTATGTATCTAAGCTGGAAACTTGTATTTGACTTTTCTTAATTCATACAATAATTTAGAAAAAATATGTATTATTTTCCAGATCATATTTTATATATATATATATAAATCGACACAGAACTCTTACATCATCTTTTGCATTGCTTTTGATGTTTAAATGAAACAATAGAATTTTAAGATTTCGCATATAAAAACATTTAAGATAGTTTATTAAAGCGGATAATTGAATTTGAAAGAGCAGAAAACACAAATGACTTCCCACAGTGACAAAGGAACCACTTAAAAAGTAAGCAAGCATAACAAATTGCATTTGTTGCACTGTGCGGCTGCACGAGAAACGCAAATCAAATGAAGGCAGTTAGTATTCAGTGTGCATAAAAAATAAACTGCGGCTGCGAGCGTGGGAAAAATGTCCAAGGGGGCAGCTGGTCTGGGGCCCGGTCTTACCGGCCACCGACGATGACATGGTCAAGTCGATGGCGACTGCGGCTGCTGTTGCCTGTTTAAGTTCTTATGGCTAACGCATTTATTACTCATACGCCGTGTGGCTAGGCGAAAAATCAAAAAATCAAAAACAAAACACAAATAAAAATAAAAATACAAATAAAAGCCATAACATGAAATGACGGCTATTTCAACGAGCTTGTTGTTGTCGCCGTCAGTTGTTTTAGGGTCAAAACACTTTTCAAAATCAATCGAATGCAAATGCGAGTTCTGATTGAATGGCCAACGATGCGGATCTGAGCCGCTGCTTGTTGTTGCCTCTCGTTGTTGTTACTGTTGCTGTTGTTGTTGCTGTTGCTGTTGCTGTTGCTGTTGCTATTGTTTATGAGTTTGATTTTGTTGTTGTTGTTGGGTTTTGCTTTATGATATTATGATTTTGGTGCTGTCCGAAAAACTTTGGGACTTTCATTGATGGAAACTTTCAAAAGCAAAAATCAAGCGATTGGCTTTGGTCACCGAGAACGGGCCGGCGGCCAAAATGCGAACGGGTTTTGTTTTCTGTCAGTTGTCAGTTGTCTGTCTGTTGTTGTCTGTCTTTTTGTCGGTTTCGTCTTATTTTTTATTCACTTTGCCTCTCGCCAGATACATTTTGCAGATACTTCAAACTAACAGTTAATGTGTGAGAGTGTCTCTGTTTCTTTCTATCAGATTGTCTGTGTGTGTGTGTGTGTGTGTGTGTGTTTCACAAGCCATCGGCAGAAGTATATAAATTACATTGGCAGTTTAACGACGACGACATCCAACGTTGTTGGCGTTGATTGTTGCTGAAATTGTCGCCTGATCGGCCGCTTTGTTGCCGGCTTTGTTTGAGACGGGCCTACAAAACTCTGCTAAGATTTCATTCCTGTTGCTGTTGCTGTTGTTGGTGTTGCTGTTGCTGCTGCTGCTGCTGCGATTGCCGTTGCGAAACGTGTCCACAATGGAGCTGCTCCACTGAAGCCGGCTCGGCTCGGCTCGGCTCGGTTTAGTGCGTTTTAGCGAGCATATAATAGAAAATCTTGTGAAATATTTATATGTGATTTACCCCAGCCGTATCTATGTGCAAATATAAGTGGTATATATATGTGTGTGTGTGTATTGTAATGCAATTAAAGACAATGTGGAAAGCATTCAAGCCGCAACTGAGGCGCATGTCAATTGAAATGAATGCGCCGCTATTCATTCGATGAGCTTGAATGGTCTTGAACGTTATCTAACAGTTAGTCAAACTGAATCGAGCCACAACCAGCGCTCGCAAATTGCAGCAAATGTCAAACGAATCGGGTTTATTCACTTTGATAGTTGCTCTCAATCTTACAAATTAATTACACATTTACTGTTCAGTTTCACAATGTGCCCTTTGATTGTTATAACAACAAAATAAATATATTTATGGACTGATTCCAACTGTAGATAATGTCTTTATTGTAGTTAGGCTCCTTGGCTCATCAGCATATTGTGTTATGGTATTTCGAGTATCACTCAAGCAATCAATTTAGAGGGCATTCCCTGATACAGAAACTAAACTTATTGAAATTAAACAAGCACCAGAACTTCTTAATACAGGTCGCTATTCATTCAAAACCAACACAGAAAGGCTGTTTGTGAAGTCGCTTCACAGCAGCATTCATCCAAAATTGGGTAATTTTTCCATGGCATTTGATTCAACAGCTTCTACCTCATCCTCATTACACAGATCAAGGATCATCAGTAGTGGGGAACTTTTAGATCCAAATAGGCTATTCTATATGAGTACAAGAGGCGTTTAAGTATTATACGAATCGATGCCAGCTCTATCCAGTAGAACTTACTGGTTTTCACATCAATCTAACTCGCTTTATTAAAGTTGTGGAACCCGTACTCGAAGCAGAGTTGGGTGGATCTACTCAACAAGTTAAGTATGATGCCTATGATCCTCTCCCACATCCCTCAACGTGCTGTAAACTGTAGTAAGATGTGCTCCACTGGGATTAAAAGACATCTTCAGCTTTGCAGTTTTATTTGTTTTAACTAACTTGATTTTTCATAATTTATAAAAGAACCATTCAACTGTTTGTGTGAGTTCTGAGTGCTGAATTGCAGACTGCCCCAAAATGTTGTATATATGTATATAAATAAAAACGTCTAATTTTAATTTTTATGAATCTCTCACAGCCTTGAAATGTTAACATTAATTTATTGGGCACAAATCACAACGCGAAATTTGTTTGGAATTGAGTCAGATTGAGTCAGTTTTTCAATTACATTAACGTTATGGAATTAGTCGTGCAGAAACTGTCAATTGAACTAATGTCTACTTGCTTGAAAAACAAATTATTTGGTATATTGTGAAATTGTTGATTATCGTAAGAAATGTGGCGTCAGCAAATTGACTCTACGCTTTGTAATCTTCGGCATATCAAAGAACCTAAAGTAATTTAAATCTAGAAATAGGTTCGATTAGAAAATGACTATGAATGGCTCCAGGTTGAGTAGAGAAAACTAGTAATAATTTCGTTCAAGTTTAAAATTGGTTTCCAGGTATTCCTCGCTTGCAAGCAAAACGTTATCAAAATAAAAACAACAACACAACAACAAGATAAGTGTTGAACGATATCTAAGCAGATTGACAAACAGTGAAAGGGGTCATATTCACAATAGTGATAACAAATCAATGGAATCACAGCAATCACATTTCAGCATTCATTTTATTCAGTCACCATTCATTTTGGAGATGCTGCAGCACTGAGACAACCAAAATTTAGCTAACAGAATTGTAAGTACAGAGAGAAGTACATTTCAGTTATGCGGAATGGATTCCAGTTGAGTGTTTTTATATTCGATCATTTCCTCATTAGTTTGAGCCATTCAGCAAGAATTGTTTTTTTTTGGCAATTATTGCTTGTTAGATGTAATTGGCTTTAACCACATATAATGTACCTAATTGGCCAAAATAAATAGCCAATCATGTTTGTAGCTTTCTAGCATCTAGATGAAGCAATGAGTCGAAAGAAACTTGGCAATACACAAAGTGAACAGCACAGAACAACAAAAAAGGCAAGAGCGAAATAAACAAGAGAAAAACGCATAAAAACGTTGACAAAAGACGGAAATATGGCTAAAGAAAAAACAGTGAGTCTCAGGTAAATATGTAGATAGGATTTAAGACAATACGCTGATTGGCCAAGAGACAAAAACGCTTTGCTTGCCGTTAACTGTGAATAACCTGTGAATATCAAAGGTGACATAAATCAGAATTTGGCTCTAGCTTAAGGCTATAACTGAACCTGCCCTAACTGAAATTGGTAACACCAAAATTCTTTGCATATTTCATTAGGATTACCCGAGCTGGTATACACAGAGAAAAAAGCATTCAAAATGTAGAATTTACTTGTTGAAAAATCAACTCTAGCAGGACAATTTTTGTGGTTTTTCTAAGTGTAGTTGTTGGCTGAAATACGCAGCTAACCTTGGGTGAAATTCAAAATGTTATGGCAACAAAAAAAGGTGGCACAGTCAGCCGATCTGCCACCTGTTGCCAAATGCTGTCGCATTTCGCAAAACCAGTTGCGAGAACCTTACAAGTGTCTGTGTTGGTCCCAATAAAACTGAGCACCGTTGTCGGACAGTGGACATCGGACAGTGGACATCGGGCAGTGGACATCGGACAGTGGACAGTGGACAGACGCAGTCGTGTTGTCAATGCCAGAGAAATAGTTGCGCTATAGTTAGTTGCAAGAATATAGGTCGACGAGTCTCAAAACAAGAAAGTGCCACACTCGATGAGTGGAGCTTGGGCAGTGGCAGGGGGCGGGGGGCGGGGGGAGATGGTGGCACACCGAGAGAGTATCAGTTTGTGAGGTGTGTTGTTCGTTGATTGGTTGGTTTTGTTGCTTGGGTTTGCTGTGCTGTGCGCCACTTTACAAAATAAGATGAATATTTAAAAAGAAAAAAAAAAGAAGAGAAGAGAAGAGAGAAATAAGTTAAAGAAGTGGTTTACCGTTAGCCGTTGGCAACAGCAACTTGACTGCAGCCAGATAGAGAGGATTGGACCACCAACCAAGCCATAAGCTGTTAACAAACAAACATTGGCAAATACAGATGCATATATATATAGATATATATATATATATATAACCGATAAATAAATACAAATACTCACTTACTGAAAATGTGGGGAATGCAAGAGAAAATGCAATAATCATTTATGGTAATTTATCACTTCGAATTGTGTCTTGTGTCTTGTGTCATTTCACGTTGATCGATAAAATGCCTCTCGGCCAATGATCATTAATGTTGCAGCATGATTTCAAAACCGTAGTCTAGTAACGAATCGAATACGAATTAGCCAGTCTATAATGGGCCGATTGGTATCAGCAAAAATCGTAATAAAAGTCCAAAATATGAAGACTGTTTCGCATTCATTTTTCATTCTGAGCATGTTTCATATTACTGATTACTGATTACTGATTACTGATTACTGATTACTGATTGGATGCATCTGTTGCACATTACAGCAGCACGCTCGACGCTCGATGTCGGGGACCACACACATGGCTCTGCCGGCGCATGCCGTGGTGCCAATGCCCAAAGTGGGTCTGCCGTTGGGCAAGCGCGGCCACAAGCGATCCGTGTCGCTGGAAACAAATGCGCCGCTAACGCTACGCAGCACACCAAGCCTGAGCAGCATGGGGCAGACAGCGTTGGGATCGCCGCTGCTGCAGATGCCATCGTCGGGCCATGGAGCACTGCATACGGGCACGTTGAAGTCACGCCAGGAGCAGCGCCGCCTCAGTCAGAAGTTTGGCAGTCACAGTAATCTGGATGATGATGCGATGACCGGGTCACAGATGCGCACCAAGTTTCACAATATACGCCAAATGTTCGAGCTGAGTCGCAGTGAGCTGGGCGAGAGCCGGCCGGCCGAGGAGGTGCTGCAGTCGCTGCCGACAATGCTTAACCAGCCGACGCAGACGCAGACGGTGCGCCGAACAACGCCCATTGCTGCCGGAAGCCGTCTGGCCATAAGCGAACAGCAGCAGCAACAGCAGCAACAGCAACTGCAACAGCAACAGCAGCAGCAACAGCAACAGCAGCAGCAACAGCAACAGCAACCGGACGAGGTCAGAGAACAGGTGAGGCGTGGCATTGAGTCGGGCATAAGGTGTGCCATTGGGTTGTGCCTGTTTTTGTTATTGATTGAGATCGCGTTGCCTTTCGCTGCAGCTCGGCAACGGTGGTAGTGGTATCGGTAGCAACTTTCTGCGTCCGATTGCCTTCAAGCCCATTCCATTTGAGCCGGACTACCGCATTGCCTCCCAGCAGCAGCATCAGCAGCAGCAGGCATCCGCACAGCAGCCAGTGTCCGGCGAGCGGTACGGCTACGGATCGACACCCTCCCTGGTACCGCTGTCCACGGCCACGGCCACGCACAAGTTTGGCAGTAAGTATACATTTTTGACCACATTTGTTACCATTTATATTTTCTCTTTTAAAAATACAGTTCTGCAATTTTTAACTTTGTTTTTTGTTGCAATTGAATGTCTCTTGCCAGGTACAACAGATCTGCGCCACCTGGCGGCACGTAGACGCGGCCATCGAGTTGTTCAGCGCAGCGGCAACGAGGATGCCCTCGGCCTGGGTCTGGGACTGGGTCTGGGACATGGTCTGGACTGCCTGGCTGGTCATGATAGGCCGGACGGCGCCAGCAGGTAGCGTTTAATGCATGCAATTCAGCCCAAAACAGAGCTGATAACTAAATTAAGTCTATCGATTTGGCATCATCTGCAGCAAAGGCAGCGCAGTGGCCGCTGGCAGCGATCTGACGCCCTCGCCCTCGGACTCTGGCATATCGGAGCTGGAGGCGGCGCTTAAGGATCGCGATTCGGAGTTGTCGTATCTGCGGCAGGCAATGGAACAGAATGAGAAAGTAATTTTCACAGTCCAAAAGGTTAAATAACAAATTCACCGCCCCGCCGGCCTCACTGACATATCTTTTGTTTTGTTGTTTTGTTGTTGATTTGCTGTTGTATTAGGACAAGGAAGTGTTTTGGGAGCACGAGACAAAGCGCCTGAAGCTCTTCTATGAGAGCCAGCAGCGCGAGTATCAGCTGAAGTTCAAGAAATTGGAGCAGCTACTGGCGTTGCAACAGTTTCAGCTAAAACAGCACAATTTGCGCCAATCGGAGCAGTTGCACAAGTTGCAGCAGCAACTCGACCTGACCAGATGTAGCAACAAGAGCTTAAAGAACTCCGAGCAGCAGCTCCAATACTCTGCCCAGGAACTCAACCAGCAGTTGAGCGACGCCCATCAGACAATAAGTGCTCTGCGTGTCCAGCTGGAGGACAGCGAGTGGAAGGTTTGTGAACGGAACGGGGAGATAGCTTTACTTAAGACGCAGCTCAAGGAGGCCCATGTAAGTTGCAGCAAATTGGACTCGCTCTGAATTTCGATTGTATTTATTGTTTTTACTTGTGCTTAGATTGAAATCAATATGAAGGATCATGCAATTGTCAGCCTGAGACACAGCAGTAACATTAGCAATATCAACAACAATAACAACAACAATAACAACAACTGTAAGACAACCACATGCCAAAGTCAACCAAAGCAGCAGGCGGAGGAACAACAGCAGCAGCAGCAGCAGCAGCAACAGCAGCAGCAGCAACAGCAGGAGCAACAGCTACAGCAGCTGAACAAGATCATAGCGCTCAAGGACCAAGTGATTGGTGCGCTAACCAACGAGCTGGCCAAGCTGCGCAAGGAGCTATCCGATCTGGCCATTGCCCACGAATACGGCGAGGAGCCGTGCGGACGGTATACGCGCCTCAAGCAGCAGCTGGACAATCTCAATGAGATCTGTCAGAAGACGCGCAAATATACGACACAGGCAGCGACAGCAGTTGTGACGCCACCAACGGCGCCACAGCAGCAACTGGATGCAATCATGAAGCGACTGCAACTGGATGAGGGACAGCCGGCACAGCAAACACTGGACACGCTCATCGAGGAGTCGACCACCTATGCGGAGGACATTGCTAAGCTGCGCGAGAAACTCGACGATTTTCGCATCAATCTCGAGCTGGAGAAGCGGCAATGGTGTGCCGAAAAGGACAAGGTGCTCGGCTATCAACGGCAGCTGCAGGCCCACTACATAAACATGTACCAGAAGCTGCGTTGCCTGGATAAAGCTGCCACCAACGCAACGCCCGCGGTTGCCGTTGCCGTTGCAACTGTCACAGAGATTAGCAACCAGAGTTGAACAGATTCGCATTCGCATTCGCCTATTTGATGGTAGTTTTGCCGATAATTTGCTAATGCAATTAGCTACTATTTTTACACAAACATATAGCTATACCTATAAAGATGCTTCTGATCCATATTACATTATTATCCGACTGCAACTGAAAGAGTAACTCCCAGTTGGTTTGCTCATTTTAGTTCGAGTCTAAACTATGCCGAGTCTTTACAAAATCTTTTCGATACGATTTTGGAGTAAGTGTTTTCATAATCGAAATATGTATTTGTATAATTGTGTATCTTGCCTGTGTGAAGCAGCAATCTTTACTGTTATAATAAATGAATACACTTAAACACATTTGACAAACTTAATTCAAAAACTAAAGCACAAATTTAATGATTGCTTTTAAGAAATCGATTGTGAATCTGCCTAGCAAAAGGAAAGTAAAACGCACCCAGCAATATACAGCAATATGAATATCAAAACTAAATGCAATTATTATTTTTGATATATTTTTAATCTATCAAATCTATACTACATATATATATTATTTTTGTTTTTAAATTTTTAAAATACATAATATATTAAATGTAGTTTACAAAACAAAAAATCATTACGTCAAACACAAAAAAAAAAACAAAACAAAAATAAGTAAAGAGAAAAAGGAAAACATTTGTAGAAAGTTTCTGTATGTTGAACATATACTATATACTATATAGTACATACATACATATGTTAAATGTCGTTCCATTATGTAAATGAGATAATCAAGAATTGTATTTATTTATGATGACAATTACACATAGTCATGAATAGATGTGCAAGAGCAATGACTCAACAGGGCGCTATAAATAATAATAATAATAATAATGATAATAAAAAAAATGTTTAAATACAATATATGTTTGTTTTAATAGGTAGATATTTTAATGCAGAGACCTTTAAAGCTCATTGTAAGCAATTATCAAAAGGCAAAAAAAAGCTGACTTAAATACAATATGACATTCTTTCGTTATCACGCACACACTCTCACACACTCACACGCACATACGCACACACTCTTAAACACTTATGTGGCTTATATAGAATCGATATGCTAGGCACACTCCTCCACATATGTGGCGGGAAAGATGCCAATTTGATTGCGCAAGGCGCCCAGCCACCAGCCGTCATCCTGTTTGGCATGAACCTCGATAACATCGCCGGGACTCAGTTCTAGTTCATCGTAGAGCTTTGGTGTGTAGCTATAGAGCGCCTTGCAGCGCCCCAGCACCTGACACTGACCGCCATCCTTGGAGCTGACGCTGGTGAAATTGCTGTTGGTGCCTTGCGAGGAGCTCATCGATGAGCTTTGCACCTCCTGTGCATTTTGATAGAAATTCTGAGTGGTCGCCTGCGGCTCAGCCTCATCCTCGTCCTGCGAACTGAACTCATCAAAGTCAGAGTCCTGCTGATTGGAGCCGCCATCCGCCTGGCCACGATCACCATTCGTCTGGCCACCGGCCAGCGTCTTGGACTTGACTGTCGTCGCCACAGTCGCCGTTACGGCACTTGCTGCCAGCGATGCGTTCGTTGTCGATATTATCTTTGGTTGGCTGGTAAAAGTTTCAATATTGCTCTTGCTGCGATTAAAGTTCTTGAGGAGCGCCGATGTTGGTGCGGCGACCACGCTAATGTTCGCACAGGAGCTATTGTTCTGGCTCTGCAACTGTGAATAATCATCCTCGTCGGTGGCATTGATGTCGCTAGCATCCTGCGACAGCAACGTCGTCGACAGCGGCGTCTTGTCATTGTTCTTCAGCCAATTGGGCACCTTCAGGATACTCTGCTGTAGTCCAGTCCGATCGCGTGTAATCTGTTTTCGATGACAGTTCAATCATTCGATTGCACTCAATAAATATATTGTATGACTCTCACCTGTATGTGCTGTGCCAGCGGATGTGTTGTGCGCGGCTTGTGATCCAATTCCAGCAGGGCCGAGTGCAGCTTCAGACGTGCACCCTCCAAATAAGTCAGCATAGAGCGAATCTGTCGCACAGATGTGAGTAATAATAGAGTAATGATTAATCAGTGCATAATGCTTACATGGTACAGCTTATCCGTAATATTCTGATGCTCCTGGTTGTTGAGTGAATGGGATAGGCCGCGCAGGCCATCCCGCGAGCGTCGCTCCCGCTCCAAATCGGTCTTGACCAGCTGAAGGAGCTTAATCAGCGAATGCTTCCGCCTCTCGCGGTTCATGGCCAGCGTGGTGTGCTCGCAATAGAAGTCGGGCAGCAGCTGCTCGCTGGGACCCTCGGAGTTGCGTCGAATGTTGCGCACCACCTGCATATCCTTGGCCACATTGCACGCATCCAGCTGCGGCTGCAGCCCAGTCGCTAGACCACTCAAAATCGGATGCATGTCGTTGATGAGACGCGCATATTGCTGCACAAAATTGTGCATGTTGCCCACACGCTGCTGTTCGCTGTTTTGGAGTTGGGAGGAGCCGCGCAATACGGCCATCTCCCAATCGACACGGGCACGCTCGGCACGCACACATAGCGTATAGTATTCGACGTCTGCCCGCTTGACAGCCTCCTCGGCCTTCTTCCGTTTGTTGTCCAGCTTGACGCAGTCCTTCTCGGCGGACTTCAGCTCCTTCTCGGCTGCCAGCTTGTTGGGCCCCTGATGCAGCAGCGCTATCGATGGCGACTTCTGTATGCGCACATCCAGCATTGCGTCCTGCAGTTTCTCATTTTCACGGGCGGCCGTGTGCGATGCCTTCTTTGCCTTTGCCTCGCTCACGCGCCACTCGCTCAGCACACGGGCCGCTTTGTCCACATTGCTTTCCACCTAATTTAAATGGTTTACATTATATTACACTCGTTGGACTCACATTTGGAGGGGTTGTTGGGGCTGTTGTCAACTTACCGCTTTACGGGTCTTGTGATGATTGTCGACAACCGTCTTTAGCGGCTTGACAAGCTCATCGGTCAGCGAGGCAGCCAGCTGGCGATGAATGTCACTGCGACTTTCCATCTCTGTAGCAACACCACGCCAGGCATCCGCCACGCTGCCAGGTATCTCCCGTCCAGCTTTATTTAGTTTATTCGCCAACTTCGAGAGTGACTTGGAGTAGATCAGCTCCGAGTCGGCGCTACATCGAGTCAAATAGTCAATTAAATCAACAAGTTAAACACAGCTACCAATTACCAATTTCTTGGAGTAGGCATAAAGACTTACCGCTCCTGCAGGACAAATATGAGTTCCTTGCTAAAGTCACCGCCCTGTTTAATGTAGCGTCTTAATTCCTCGAAACCGTTTTGCCCCTATCGAAAAGAGCGAGCAAATGGAAAAGAAAGAACATTTTAAAATGATGCTTAACATGGATTACACACAAACTACAAAACGGGGATATTTGGCATTATGATCTAGCCAGTGGGCCAGTGGACCAGTGCACCAAACAATGCATTCTGCCTGTACCTCATCCTTAAAGCGTTTAGCGTGCGGCGAAAGATCCTCATCACTGGGGTGCTGTGACATCGAGGGCTCATACTCGGTGCGATCTGTCCGTTCGGTGACATCCTCGCAACTTTCGGTCATATCACGATAACGATCACGATCACGATCTCGATCACAATCGCGATCGCGACTTCGATCAGGTGACATTGACTGGCGGCTGGCATTGCCGCAGGACTGGTTGAGATTGGTTTTGGATTGGGCGACACGCTTGAGAGGCGTCTGTTGGCGCACCACCTCCTTCAGCTTGCTGCCCTCCTCGCCCAGCCAGTTCTTCATGCCGTGCCAGCCCTTGCGGAGCTTCTCCTTGTTGTGATTAAAGTTGATCAGGCGCTGGTTCTTGTTCTTCAGCAGCGTGATGCGACGCTCGTTGGGACGCAATTGATCCCGATGCGTACAGTACTCCAGATCGATTTCACGACTGAAATCCTCCGTCTCGTTGATCTGACGGGTAATCTCCTGCAGCTCATCGATCGATACAAACAGATTTTGGGCAGTCAGGCTCTGATAGCTAACCGATTTGAGATCATAATCAAACTCCTCATTGATGCTAATCTGGCTGTGGCTCAATTGACTTCGGCTCCGGCTTTGGCTTCTGCTTCGGCTCCTGCTCCTGCTGCTGCGACAGCTGGTAAGGCTCTGTTTGGATGGCCGCTTGGAGGGCATCGGCTGAAAGGAGTCGATGCTCTTGAAGCGCTCCTGCTGCGCCAAATAGCCACAGATGACGGGTGTGCTCGGATGCGAAATGTCCTGCTTGCCGATCTTTCCACATCTTTGCGTCGAGCTGGCCATGTTCTCCTTGTTATCGCTGGCCGCCAAACTGAGCTCACTGGTGCCATACAATTCCGGCAGTTCCGGCAGGTTGAGGCCAAGCTGTGGCGGCGCTGTCACATTCATGTCCAGCGTCATCGATGGCGACTTGTGCAGATAGAGTTTCAGCTCGGACCGATGCAGATTCTGTACGGACTGCGACTGCTGTTGTTGCCGGGCAATGCGTGGTCGTCGAAACGGTGCCTCCATAAGTGGCAAGACTAATGGCAGTTGTGACTGCTGTTGTTGCGGTTGCGGTTGCTGTTGTTGCGGTTGCGGTTGCAGTTGTTGCGGTTGCTGTTGCTGTTGTTGCGGTTGCAGTTGCGGTTCCTTTTCCTGTTCCGGTTGATGCGTTGGCGTTACAAACTGTTCCGTTTCCTCCGTTTCAGGCTCTGTCTGTTGCTCGATTTGGGGCATCGTGCTGCAGGCATCGACAAACTCCTCCTCATCGGAGCTGCGCGGCGTTAGAGTCCGTACCATCGTCGATGTCTTGGCAATGCCGCCACCTATCTGCTTGAGGCGCGCCTCTGTTACACCAAAGCGATCAGTGTCCAGGGTTGTCGTCGATATTAGTATGGGGGCGCCAATCTCTAGGCGATGATCCTCCGAATTGCTGCCAGTCATATTGTAGCTGCCAGTGGCCAGTTTGCTGGGTGAGCCGGAGCGATCCTTGCCGGAGCCACCACCTCCGCCTCCGCCCGGCAGTGTCATGCTGCCCAAATGGCGTCGGCTCAGTTTGTTTCCCAGCACCGAGTAACGCTTGATGCGGGTCAGAAATCCTTTGCCGCTGCTATTTCCGTTATTATTATTATTATTGCTGTTGTTGTTGTTATTGTTCTTGTTGCATATGCTGTTGTTGTTGTCGGCGGTAGGGATATCGGCAACAGCCGAATGGTCCTTGCCGCCCAATTTGAACTTGTGCACGCGCAAATGATTCATCATTCTATGCGATTTAACTTCGATTATTAAAATTTCGAAAGAGGTTTTGATTCGAATTCGATTTGGCAGCTCGTCGTCAACCTTGCCAACGTTTGCATTGCGTGCGCACTGTAAATTGTCCGAAAACTGAACTGAGTGTGGATGTGGATAAGGCAAGTAGAACTGCCGGCAAGTGCATAAGCAAGCGTCGTCGAAGAAGAAGAAGAAGAAGTGGAGAGGCGACGGGGCAGAAGGAAGCCAAAGCAGAAGAATAAACACGGATGAGAACGTACTTTCATGTTAACATACCATAACGACAACTCTATACCCTTTAAGCAATCGTTACCAAAATATCAATTTATCATTTTGTATTCCTGAATAAGTTCAGCCAAAGCCATGCACTGGGTTATAGTTTAGTCGGCATTGTTAAAACAGCAAAACAAAAAATAATAATCAGTTAACTCTCTGCATTATGTCAGTTTGAAAACTAATATGCTCAATGCTACTCTAAGTCCATAAAACATAGTCGCGACGCTCACCTACATAATACACACACACATGCACACACACGCACCTCAATTGAAAATGGGGGAAAAGGGCACAAGAATGAGCTGCAGTGAAAAAGAGCAATAAAAACGACACAAACTCACTTTATCTCTCTCTCTGTCTTTCTTACAAACAAATGTCGCATTGTTTGACCCCTGCTTATAATTTAAAGGCTTACACACATGTGTGTGCATACAAACATTAATACATCGCCACATACATATGTATGTGTGTATGTATGTATTCATGCATGTACATTGCTTGGTCACAGCGGCCCTCCGATCCCGATTCCCCATCAATGTTCTTTTGCTCCACTTTCAGTGCAGGTAAAGATTACAAAACGGTTTGTTTATTGAACTGCGGCGATGAAGGCAGCGACAACGGACAGCAAGAGAGTAGAGTGCATTAAGAATAGGCGTGTAGGCACAAAGAAGAAGAGCCAGACGAGGCAAAGGCAGAGAAAGACCGACCGAGGCTAAACAGTGATGTGCGTTTGTTATGCATGCCGAGAATCGCCGCGTTGGCATCGAAAAAATTGACAGCAACTGTCCGAAACGCCTTCAACGATGCGTCGTCTGTTTGACTCTGTTTTGTGTACAATATACATGTGTATGTGTGTCATGTACACGTATGTACGCAGAGAGCATAAGATTAAAGAGCCGATGCTCATCTCCGAATTTAGCCGTGTATACTTTGTAACTTTAAAATTGAGTATGCTCTTGAACATTTGTATGTATGCAAAGGAAAATTGATATCATTCCCAAAGACTTAAAATGTTATATTTAAACAGCGTCAGTTTTAAATGTTAGCCATATGTTTGTATATACCTACTATACATTTGTATATACGATGTGTTAGATACGAGGTATCTCATAGTGCACTATTGACTAGGGTATTTTTGCTTTTTTCTGTGCCATTTTCGTTCCATTGCTCGTGTTTGCAGTCCGTGTTGGTAATTATAGAAATCATTTATTTATGAACTATTTACGTTTGAGTTAAGCAAAGATGATTGTTTTCCATTGCTAATCGATCAATGCGACTTTCGAATGCACTGCAATAGTATTTGAACACTAAGTGAAATAAATGTCAAGATAATTAAGTTTTTGTTTGAAGTGCAAATTTTTTTTATATTTTTTTCGATGTAGAGTTTCTTTGAAATTATTGTGTATTTTTCCCGCTCTGTTGTTATGTGTGTAAGGGTATATTTGAATTCATGATATAAATACATATACACATTCCTACACATATGCGTATGTGTAGAATCGAAAAACTTCGAATTGAAAGTCATCGATGAATGGAAGAGGGAGGGGGGAGGGGAGAAGGGAAGTAGAAGTAAGCAAACAAAGCTGCTGTCCGATTAAGCTTCGTTCTGCTTGTTGTTGTTATTATGCAAACATAGGTGGATATACTTACATACACACACACACACTATATATGCAATTTTGTTGTTGTTGCTTGTGCCGATGTAAGCTAATATTGGTGTGAGGTGCATGTTCAGGTTCGGGTTCGGGTTCGGCTTTGTCTGGTTATTAACTGAGCTCTGCTTGTAACACAGTTTACGCTTCTGCTTCTGCTTTTCCATTCGGATGCCAACAAGTGAAACCGTAGTAAGTAAAACAATTTAATTACATTTTGCGAATTGTTGTTGCTGCTTTGCAGCTAATTGCATTTGTTATTTGCAAGGTGAGAAAGCCCAACACAAATGTGCTTGGCAGCCGATTGGGGACTGTGGACCCCGTGGCTGACTGAAGTTTCTGAACGATATGGATATGAATATGGATGGATGCCAATCAGAAATGTCTCCTTTAGCCATTCACTCGTGTGCATTTGCCCAACTCCGTGAGTGCTGTGAACATGGATACAAAAACACACTTTGGGGAAATGCAACACGAAAAGCGTTGATAAGTCACGTAGCATGCTAATGGAGTGCTACTTGAACTGGAGTGTGACAAGTCAGAGAAAACAACAATTCTACTAATGAGCACAGTGAATCTGAATCTCAATCTGAATCCCAATCTGAGTGTGAGCCTTATTAGCCTCTGTCTGGGCTTCAAACAGAGAGCCAGAAGAGGCCACTCGAGTGAACCTGCCTGAGGAGCTACTACGACGACGACTGCTACGACTGCTGCGACTACTACTCCATCCAAAACAATGTCGGAGGCTAATTGCAAAGGGCGCTCCGAAGTTGCCGCAGTCCTCAAAGCCTGCAATTATGGGCGGCGGCGGCGACTGCAACAAGCCGGGTTTAAAAGTCAAATAACATAAATTATTGCCAGACGGTTAAAAAAAAATAAAAATGAAAATCATCTGAAAACAATCAGTGGAGTCGGGGCGAGCCGCTGGCTGCAACATGCTATAAATAGCCAGCCAGCGATTGCAATTGCAACTTGCATCTTGCGTCCACGCAAGCAGCAACACCAACATCTGACAATTGAAAATCCTTTGGCTTGTGCGTGCGCAGCGGCAGCCTTTTTTTTTGTTGCCCATTATGGCAATTTATGGCAATAATAAAAAAAAGGGGCAGCAGCCATAATTTGTAAGCGGAGGGCAATATCAAGGTCATCAGTGCTATCAAGGTTACAGCCGTCGCAGCATTTATAATGGAAATTAGTTTAGTTAACAGCAACTCGAGCAGTTAATTAACAGCAACTCGAGCAGTTAATGAACAGCAGCTTGAGCTGTTAATTAACAGCAACTCGAGCTGTTAATTAACAGCAATCCTAAGTTGCTGGCATGTTTTTTTCGGAGAGGGCAACTATCTGTTGGGTTTGTGTTTATACGGATCTAGTCAGTTTATAGCTCAGTTTTGACTGTTCTGTTAAATATTTAAAATATTGAATCGTAAAGCAAAACAAGAAAGAATGCCTAGTGATGCTGATAAAGAATATTTATTTGTATATATACTTTATGGGGTCGTAGAGCTTTCCTTCAACGCGTTATACATTTCATGGTAAAACTATTATAACCTCGACACGTGCTTGAACAAATGTATTCCAAAGATGTTAAAAAGAATGTGACAGTCCCATTTGATAAGTAAATCTAAATGTCTAGATAATTATACAATAATCTTAAGTGATAAATGCATTCATCTTTCTGCTCTTTAAGAACATCATTGAAAGAGCACAATTCCCACAAGTTTATTTCCAGCAGCCTTCATTAACAAATGGTGCAAGAGCGCGTCCCAGTTTTCTATTCGATATATTTATATATATATATACATTTTTTGGTCTGTTAAACATGGAACAATCAGCTTTACTAAAGACCCAACGTTAAATGCTTTTAACAAAACGAATTCTTTGCGACCATTTATATATATATATATACTATATTTATGTCGAGTATGTAAATGTTTACATGTTGCAACAAGTGGCACAGCAAACACCTGACTAATGCACTAATATTGCATGTGGGAGTCATATTTCCATTCAAGTTCTTCGAAACTCTACGCGGAAGCGACGGGTAAATGTCTAATCGAAACTGCTAGTGCTCAAATATATGTATATATATATATATATATCAGCACAAACGTGAGATGGCATTTTATTTGATTGGTATAATTATATAAGAAGCAATCGCCAGCTGCCAAGGTACACGTTCTGTTGCACCTTACACCTTTATATGTGGCATTAGTTCAAGGGCGTATCCACTCTATGTCTGTGCAAAGTTGAGTTCTGGGGCAGCCGAACCCACCCCTGCCCCCTGCATACACCCTGGCATTAGTCTCATTAGTCTTTTTTGTTTTTCACATCCAACAACCTTTTTTGGAACAGCCCCGGGGCGGTAGTCTATGGGAAGCATTTACCTCATTTAGTGTCGTAAATGATAAACAATTTGTTAGCCGATTGGCATCCGTTGCCAAAATCAAGGAGAGCCATAAACGACAGATCAACACTGAGCACAATTATTGAAAACTTCTAAAAATAGTTTCAAGCAGAAGTTTCACAATTTTAAGTATTTCAAGTGAACATATCTCGAATATATATATAAATCTATATGTACGTAGTGCAAAAAGGGTTAAGTTACAGTTGTTATAATAAACAACGTACGTGCTGTTTTCCTTTGTTCTCTCAGTGTATACAGATGTGCATATATATATATATAAATATGCTTTAGTTTATATATATAAACTATATGTATATGTATGTATATAGTTGTTTAATTTCTGATCGTTGACGATTCTAAACGCATTAAAAATAGCTGGACGCGATCAGATCGGCCAACTTAGTCAAGTCTCTATGTACTTATGTACATAGATGTACATCACTATGTACATACATACATGCATAGACATATGTATATTTGGACTGTGTGTGTGTGTCTGTGTGTGTTGGGTCTGCGGCGCTTTCTGTTTCACTTAAACAAATATTTTCGCAACTTATCGCGAAATGTTGCGTCAAATGCAAAAAAGGTCGTACGAGGGAGGGGTGTGGGGTTGTTGGTGGCAACAAGGCGAAAAGTTCACCTAATGAGGCACTTATTTGTTGAATTGTTGTTATTCCGAATTGACATTATTTGCTCAATGTGATAATAATATGAGTAGACAAATGGTAACACTGACGAGCTACTTTCAGAAATGGAAAATGGCTTTTGTTTTAGCAGAGTATTTTACTTTTATTTATTTATTTATTTATTATTACACCTGCTTGATTATCTTTCTGACAACGTTGGAACTATCGAATCACTTAACTGTACAGAAGTCAAAAGTCTGTTTGATCCGAGAAGTGATATAGTGGGGCATGATACCAGATAATGCGATAATCACTCGCAATTGGGATGTTGAACTAACTTGTGTAAGCAACAGCAACTGATATGATGACCTGCTACACCAACCGATAAAGATCGTGAGCGAGAGATTGCCACGTTTTCTTCTTCTTCTTGTTGTTGCTTGCTGTGTGTTTTATCTTTATCGGGGAGCTTTGCAGCTGTGCAAAAATATGGTGGAAGATCCAGTGAGTTAACTGTCTAAACTAAACTAAGATAACTGAGCATCACATGGTTTTTTCCCGTACCGGAAGTGTTAGCAAGCCAATGCTCAATTAATGTTGTGGCCTGCTTGCAATATGCAGAAGTCAGTTAAGTTGTTGCAACTAAGCAACTAAGATTCTTTTCAGACTGTCAACTCCACTGACTTACATGTGTAGGTATCTCTCTGTGTGTGTGTGTGTTGTTGCATACGCACAATGCATTCATCATTTAATATAATTAACCTCAAGCGAGCGAGCGAGCTGTAAACGGGGGCCATGCAGTTGGCATGGGGTCTGCGGGGTTCAATCAAGTTGAAATTGTTTACCGGCCAAGTGTCATTGACATATGACAATCGAAAGCTGACTGCTATGCAACAATGTGAAGCTCGCTAAGCAAGGAGAGAAGAGATTGCTCAGCATATTCCTGTGACACACTCTTACTCTCTCTCTCTCTCACTCTCACTCTCTCTCTGCCTCTGTCTCTGTCTCTGTGTGTCGTGCACTTTGTGTGGCTGTCAATCTTATTAGAAAAGGGCTGCATTTTATTCGGATTGGAATTGAGCATTCGGCTTATGCTTTGTTGACCCATTGGAATGTTGCTAGAGTTCCTGTTGTTGTTTTTGGGCTTTCTTATGCCGTTGCTGATTGAGAACTATGCTGGATTTATGTCGTTGCCATTGATGTGTCTTGTTGCTGTTTGCTGCTTGCTGCTTGCTGTTGTTCTTCTTCTTCTTGCCGTGGAAAGAAAAGAAAAATAAAGAGGTGCCTAATTAAGAATGCTTGGTCGTCTCAAAGAATTAACTAACGGTTGCTGACGGCGCTAAATAAACTGATGAACAACAATAACAATCACAATAACAGCAACAACGACAACAATAACTTGAAGGGCCTCAGTGTTTATGTTAATGGGGTCGGGTCGAAAAATATTGAATAGATCGCATACTGTCTACTTCTATCTTAGATAGAGGCCCAAAAACGTCTATGAAAATATTGTATTATTATTATTATTATTCTTTTTTTTTTTTGCGTCGTTTTATTGTGTTCTATTTTAGCCTAAACGAAACAAAATAATTGGCACAATTTCAAGAACCGACCAAAAAGTAGGAGAAAATGTTTAGATTTTCATTTGGAAAAGTTGCGGTCGTAAAATGCATTTGTCTGCCAAAAACAAAAAAAAAATTTTAAAAACACAACAAGAAAAAGAAAAAGATCGACACGAGAAACAGACACAGATTGCAATGCGTGATCGCACCAAAATAAATATATGAGTGAGTGCATATGAGTGGATGTGAGTGCAAATGAGTGTTTGCCTCGTATATGTGTGAGCATCTTGTAGTTTGCCACACGGTTGACCATCAAGCAAGCTCAAGTTTGATTTTTGTCACATGTCACATAATAGATGAACGATGGATGGAGAGATGGATGCAATTGATGAAGGTCGCTGAGCAGCGGCATTTGTGTGTTAATAAAGAGAAGTATTAACATGCCTTGACGTGTAACCAAAAATGTTTTCATTTGTCAGTGGCAGGTGCAATACAATGTGCGCCGCTAGATAACAAAACAAATGGCAGCGAGTTGCACGATTTACACAATTCCATTACAGTCTCAGCAACAAGTGTATTTTGCTTCTTCTTCTTCTGCTTCTTCTTCTTCTTCGTTTTTACACACAGTTTTTGGGGGCTGCCAGAAATCGAATCGAATCAATGAACAAAAATTAGATCACTTGGCGATTTCATGTTCTTTTTTCACACATTAGACACTCACAAATTAGAACAAAAACAAAAAAAATTAAAAAAAATATATATATATAAGCAATATATATGTATATAAATATATATTTAGCATTAGTTTTCGTGTGTGCGTTATGTAAAAGCAAATTACCGAAAATAAATGATATTTTAATTAAGTGAACACAGAATTTACGTCGACGACGACAACGTTGGAGGCGACTGCGACTGCGACTGCGACAGCGACATTTACTACGCCCCTCGCGGCGACTCCCGATTACTTCCGATTAAATTTAGAACGGGCTACAAATACAGCTACTATTGCTACGTCGAGGCGACGTCAACGACGCACAGCGGCAGACTAAGCGCAGCCAGCTCGACAGCAGCTGAAGCAGAAAAAGCAACTGCTATCGTAGCAGCAGCAGCGGCAGCAGCAGCGACTAACGCAAACAGAACCAATGAAAACGCTGCGAGCGAAGCTGTTCTGACTAGACAGATACCCGTGCCAAGGCAGAGTTTCATCATCGGTCGATGCAGCTAGCTAATGCCAAAAAAAAAGCCGAAAATACTAATTTATTTTCCTTATTTTTTGTATTTGCAGCACAGCTATTCTTTTATATATTTGGCTTATCTGCTGATCTGTAATAAAGATCTTTTACTCAAACGCATTCAATTTAAGCGACTTACTGCTGCTGCTACACTGGCGCCATCTGTGAGTGAGTATTTTTCCCAAGCATTTGCTTCGCTATTAAACATAAGAAATAAATAATAAAAAAATACAAGCAATTTGTGGTTTTTATAATAACACGAACCGAGCACACCCCAGCATCTAATGGGAACGGGTATACAGAACTGAGAGCCCAGACCCGGAGAGCGTAGAGTAGTTCTATAGAGCACGAAGCGTGGAGCGTGAACCGTGAAGAGTGGAGCATGGAGCATGGAGTAGCAAGCGCAGGCGCATTATGCCGGCTGCTGCAGAATTGAGGCTGCTCGCTGCTGCGTCGACGCGACGTCGCTGTCGTTGGTGGTGGCGCTGCTGCTGCTGCTGCTACACCTGCTGCGATGTTTGGCAACGCGTAGGCCAAATATTTGGACGAGAGTGCGCTCTTACGGTACAGCATCCAGCAGACAGCAGCCAGCAGCCAGCATCTGTCGTCGCAGCATGCAAAGCGGTACTTGCTGATTTGGCTCTCTGCACATTTACCGTTGTAGCTCAAGTAATTGATTGAGAAACAAAGCAAATAAATACAAATCAAATGATCGAATAACTTCAAGCTTCAAGCTGCTAATTTTCAATCATTTCACATGACAGCAGTAAAATTGCCAATTGCCTCACAAAATAATAATTAGTTAAAAAAAGTTTTTCTCCATTTTTTGCACATTGGACTTTAAGCCGTAAATTGTTAATATCATATTTGTGCAACGAGCAGATATAGGAAAACCACTTTGATCGACTCTGACTATGGAACAATTTAACGTTACCAAAAAAATATATTTTAACATATAATTGATAAAATATATGTGATGTTGGTACCACTGTGCACGATGTACGCTACAATAATTTAAACAGCTAAGTGCACGTGCTGCTGCAGACATTGTCGTCGCTGTCGCCGTCGCCGTTGACAAGTACCGGTATTATGGGCAATGTCAGTTGCTGTTGCAGTTGCATAACTGCTGCAAATTTATGCAGCTTAGCAACCGCATCCGCAGCAGCAGCACAGTCTGTGTGTGTGTGTGTTTATATAAGCATGTATTTATTTTCATTAGCACTGAGCGCGTGATTATCAAAGAAGCCACAGTTCACACGACGCGACATCGACGTCGACGTCGTCTGCGACTGCGACTGCTGCACTTGCCGCTTGACCGACATTCGCAGGGTTCTTGCACAAGTCAACAACAACAACAAGTGTTTCGCCACAAGCATCTCCAACAGATGTGACAATAATGCTAATGGCTAAAAAGCCGTTTATCGGGTTTGTTTTTTATTGTTTGTCTTTTTACTTCCTTTTCTTTTATTGTTGTTGTTGTTTATTTATTTGTTGCCTTTTTTGCAGTAACTTTTGTTGTTTTTTCTTCCGTTTTTTGGCGCTTATGTGGCAATCAGCTGTTAATCAGGAATTTAATAAAATATTGCAACTTACTTGGGGCTGGCATTGTTTGGTTTGTCTGGCAATTAAGATACTGGATATTGTATTTGCTTTAGCTTACCTGGAAACATAGAGAAATCAGAGATTTAGTTGAGATACTTTTTGTTTTCCTAATAGCCATGTTAAGTGAGCGAGTTCTTAGGGAAACGATTAAAAGAATCCACTACCAATACCGACACCCTTGAATACATGTACATGGAAGGTCTTCTGATAATACTAATTTATTTTCCTTATAATATTATCTACTTTCTTCGGTATACTCCACTTAATGAACATAATTATTATCATACACCTTAACTTTAATCTCTAATATTTGCTTATTTAGGATCTGAGAGGAAAATAGAATATAAATGTGACTCTTTCGTTTAGTAGATTTTTTGTATTTTCAGCACAGCTATTCTTTTATATTTTTGGCATATCTGCTGGTCTGTAATAAATGTCTTTTACTCAAAAGACTTCAATTTAAGCGACTTTCTGCTACTGCTACTCTGGCGCCATCTGTGAATGAGCTTTTCACAACATTGTTGGCGCTGAAAGCTTGCCATATAGCTTTCATGCTTGATTGGCGCTGTTGAGCTTTAAGCTAATTGAATTCAAGTTTTACACCTGCGCAGACAGCTCATTAGCGCTGGTCAGTAATAGCGATCGGAAGACCTTGCGAATTATTTATTTGCACTAAGAAGTAAGGTATGTGTGTGTGTGTGTGTGCGTGTGTGTGTGTGCGTGCTGAGTTATCTGTAGCGGGAACTTTGAGTGGAACTGCTTTTAAATAAGTTGCACTTACTTGCTAAATACAGACTGGCTGGCAAACGAGTTTAACAATAACATAAAATCACCCAAAAAAATGCGAGAATGAATGCGGTGCAGGGGTTGACATATGGGTTGCCATGGGGGCCATGGAGGGGCATTGCGGGGCATGGGGGAGTTTTGGTTCGATGGCTTGGGCAACACATAATAAAATGAATTTCCATTAATTGACGCGACGAGAAGTTTGATGGTAATTGGTTGGTTGGTTGGTTGGTTGATTGGTTGGTTTATTGGATGTTGGCGACGTATGGAGTTGGTGATGGAACACACGTTCACGTATGGAAGCGACAAAGGAGATCGAGTTCATCGCTTACCTGTGCATTACCCATTAGAGCATCGTCTTCAGCCTCAGCCTGGATGAGCTCTTCAACATTTGCATATAGCGCCTCCACCTGTTGTTCTGCTTGCTGTTGTTGTTGTTGTTGTTGTTCTTGTTCCTTTAGCTTTTGATTCTTTTGCTGTTGCTTCAGATTCGCATTGAGATTGATCGCCGATTTGGATTTACTTTTTGCATAGCGAGCAGAGCAGCGCAAGCTTTTAAGCACGCCATATGAGCGCGCAGCCGCGAGCTTTTTTTACAGGTGGTTGGAGAAAGACACAGAGAGAGAGAGACAGAGAGAGGGAGAGAAAGAGAGATTTAAAGATAGAGAGAGGGAGAGAGAGAAAGGGAGCACACGTTTGGGTTTGCACGTAGCAATGGTTGTGAGGCGGGGTTTTGCTCAATTTAAGTATCATCATCATCTTTATATAATACACAAAATATATATAGGCAAATATATACATATATATATATATATATATATATATATATATATATTTATTTATTTATATATATTTATTTATTTATTTATATACATATATGTACATACACTTAATAACTAAGGTGCAAACTGTAATGAGTTAAGCTTGATGTTCATTTCTGTATCTGTATCTGTATCTGTATCTGTGAGTACGACTTTCAATTAGTTATGGTGCAGCTGGTGGAAAGAGGGCAAAGGCTGAAAGCACGCTTTGCCACTTAAAGCTTACTAATTAGTATGAGAAAATGCAAAAAGCCCATTTTTTTCTTTGTCCTATGTAAAATGTGTCAGAAAAAGCAAAAACAAAAGAACTCAAAAAAAAAGATAAAAAGCAAGAATTCTTGGCCCATTGACAATTTAATGAAGAATAGAATATTTAGGCTTGTTTTGTTTTGATTATAACTGTGTTTATACGCAATTTGAGCTATCACTAATGAAATTCAACAAAACATTTTGAAGAGATAAGATTGTATCATTTCCTTGATACACATCATTTCCGGTGTAATAAGTGTTATACATGGCTAATATGCTTGTGATGAGTAAGGCTTAAAGTGCATTTCAGTTAGTGTTGTTGTTGCAGTTGCTGTTGCAGGTGCAGCTACTGCTGCGTTCAACTTTATAGTCAGATAGTCAGGGCCGCAAGCTAGGATGGTGCTGGTGGTTGTTTAGAGGCTTCGAGCTATGCTGTCCACTTTCTATTGACGACGTGCCGGCATTTGCCATGCACATGCGTACATATATACATATATATATAGATAGATACATATAGACATGTCCAACAGGTGTCAGTCGCCGTGTCTCTGAACCCAAGCGCGTTGCCCAAAACTATGGCATTGCCAACTTCCGGCACAAGTTAAGACAACAACAACTACAGCAACAACAACAACAACGCCAATTACAAGTCACAATTGGCTGCCGTCTTGGATATGAATGAGACTGCTGCGAGTGCTGCTGCGACTGCCATTGAATGATGATTCAATGGGCTTAGTTGCAAGCAACGTTCGCTTTCTATATATAGATACATGACCGATGTTGACAGCGATTGCGAAATGTTACCGTGCCGATAAAAGCATTGAACTAAACAGTCAACAGCGACGGCAACTTGGCTTAGTTGAAATACCTAATGACTCGTTAGGCACTGCGCATTTACCAGCACAATTTGCAAGTGTTTAGCAACAGCAGCAGCAACAGCAGCAGCAGCAGCAGCAAGAACAACAATATGATTGCAAATGTTGCGTATACGACGCGTATGGTTTTGAAGTGGGACAACCATTGAGCGCCCCTTCCCCCCCATCAAAGAAAGCTGTGTATGTGTGTGGTAAACGGTGGTGTTTTGTAGAACAAGTCTAACCAGAACCAGAACCAGAACCAGAACTAGAACCAAAATCATCAACATTCGAATCAGAACCAGATTCACTCGCAACCAGTCAACATTTTCAATTGCACGGCAGCAATTAACGAGCCAACAATGTGAGACAAAGCATTCAGCTCGAAGCTGGGTTCGGTTCTGTCTTTGGTGTTTGCTGCTTGTTGTTCTAAGTATTGCGCAAATTGACGCCCTGTGCGAACAACAACAAAAATAAGTCATTGACGAACTGACGCGGCAGACTTGTTAAGAATTCGCCACGAGGGTCGCTTGTGAAGTGCAGCAAAAGTCATTTTTGTTGTTTGGCAAAGAGTAACGTAAAAAGATTCATCTTCTTTGAAAGCTATTTATTTATGAATTTATTCATTAAGCTGTAGCTTTGCAAAAGATAATGCACTCAACAACCATATGCGTAATTATTAATTAGCTAATTATTTTTTTGCGATAAGTGCTGACATTTTGATGATACGCTTGCCGAGCTGATTTAGCATTCGCTGATAAGCAGAGTCGGCCCAAAGGTAAAATGTGTGAATTGTGTGTGCATTTTGGGCCTTTTGGTTTGACTGCGTTCACAATATACTTTTTGGAATATTCCATTAAAAGTGGATATTTAAGCCCAGCTTTTGTTTCACACAAACGTAATGAGCACCCCTCGCTGGCATTGTTCAAATAACATTGTATTTTCCAGTCCACTGGGCTTTCGATGTGTCAGCCTTTAAACGTTGCTCAATGAAACTTGCCCGGTCGGTCGGTCGGTCGGTCGGTCGGTCGGTCAATGAGGGCCAGGGAACGAAGGTGCAGTGGGAACTGGTCGAGTTTCGATTCATCACCGACTCTGACTCTGACACAGTCGCACATAGCTGACTAATGAACTCAAATCGAATTCTCACATTATCGTTATCATTCTTAAGCAATTCAAAGTTCAGCAAACCGTGTGTGGCCCAACAGCAGAACGTCATTAAATACCAGTCTAAGTTAACAAAGAAAAACTAAATCTTAAAGGAGAAAAGTTGTTGCAAAAATATAAGGAAAAACTAGTGAAATATTCGCTGTATTTGGAGACTGTTCGACCAGGAGATACTCCGAGCAGAAGTGTTTACCTTGTTTACTAACAACTTTCGAGATTCTCAACCGATTTCGATTAGATATATGTTTCTATCGACATTGTGGAGAAGGAGGCCGTTATCTATAAGATAAAATGTGATTTATTAAAATATGAACAAAGTCCGTCTGTATGAAAAATCCGATCTCTGCGACTAGAAGAGCTAAAGTTATCGGGTTACATCGACTTAGATACTTATACTGACTGAGAATATGTACACCATATTGGGTCGGAGAATACAGCTTTTTTTTTAAAACTATTTCCAATAAAAATAAACGTCATCTCAATGATCTTTAATTTCAAAGGGAGAACTTTGAAATTGAGTCTCATTTTCCTTCCACAATTTGAAGAACCTGCAAAAGACTTAAAACTAATTTATGTGTTTACAACTCTTGATTTTGGCAATAAATTTTATTGTTTCCTATGAGGATATCTCTGATTTTATGGGGGTTCTCACGACTTTAGTGGTAGTAAACTATTATCAACTATCGCATGTTGTATACTATTCTCGACACTATTAGTTGGCTGGGCGATTAATAACAATTGCTAGCCGATGTAGGTCAGTGACTAACTGACTAGCTGCATGCCACGCCCCCATCCCCGTCCCCGATTCATAAGAATCTTGCACGTAGCGTGGCAGTAATTACTGATGTACTCGTAAATGTTGGCGCGAGTATGACAAATGGCCGTAGTTAAAAAGTATTTCGCTAATTTTATGTTTACCATTTTAGCAATTGTTTATCAGCAGTGAGCAACAATTAAAGCCATTCAGCTAAAAAGCGAACGACGCAAAATAAATACAAATAGCCCCAAAATGACAACGAGTGTTTGCTGAACAAAGCGAGTTCTTCTCTTATATTGAATAGAACTCGAACGCTTCTTCAATCGACTCATCGGCGCTGTGCCGAATTGCATTGAGTTCTCCGAGACACATGTCAAGTCTCTAGAAGTGCCCTTGCTAGGGTTTGAGCTACTTTAAATGAGTCGAGGCTGAAACGATCTTCAATTTTCTGTGTTAAATTAGAAAGTGGACTCATCTTGGGCGAGCCAAAGATTGAATATCCTTCAGCATTGCCAGCACTAAGCAGTTTATCAGAGCAATAAAAGAAAACTGAAATTAAACTGGAATTTGCTGTAGCAATATATATATATATATACATATGTATGTATATATGTGTGTTGCACACTTGAAGTCAAAACTATAATACCTTTGGCAAGAGCACACAAATAAAAGCCAACTCATGCGGGTGGAATGATCTATTTGTAGCAAGAAATTTCTAATAATTGTTATTGTTGAGAATCTGTTGCTGCTGCTGCTGTTGTTGTTGCTGTTGTTGATGATGTTGCATGTAACGAGGTCAGCCGCCTAGGCCAAAGTCTAAGTCTGGGCACGTTTTTGTTACAATTTCAATTTCAATTTTTGGTGTCTGTCTTGAAAATCAATTAACATTTTAGTTGCCACAGTGTCTCAAGACTCGAGTTGGAGCTGCTGCTAAGGCTGTTGCTGCTGTTGCTGTTGCTGCTGTTGCTGTTGTTGCTGTTGTTGTTGCTGTTGCTGTTGCTGCTGTTGTTGTTAGTGCTTAGTGGAACGCGTATATGGGCCATTCAGACCTGATCGTACCATTGAACGTGACTTGGCTTTAACTCTCATTGGTCTCATTGGTCTTTGGTTTTCGGTCTTTGGTCTGTTTCTATTTCTGTTTTTTGTTTGTTGTTTGTTGTTTTTTGTTTGCTGTTGTTGTTGTTTCTTGTTGTGCCTGTTGCCCCCGTTTCAAGGTCGAAGCAAGACGGTGTTGAGTGCATTTTGTGGGCCACCCATGACTGGATTATTTTCAGCCAGATTTCCACAGTAGCTTTCCACTTAACGTGCATAACTGCCTCAGCTGTAATTGTTGCTGTGCTTTTTTTTATTTGTTTTGTTCATGCAAAAGTTGTTTAATTTTTCTATTTTCTTCGTTTCTATTATTGCTTGCCTTGTTGAGAGATAAAAAACGGCGCTCAGGCCCCGTTTACTCTGTCGTAAAAACCTAAAAACTTGAAAAAAATATATATAACACAAGCATAAATATAATAAAAAATTATATTTAGCACATGTTTATGCATTGTTGTTGCTGTTGTTGCGCACAGTTTATCATACAATTTTTGCTGTTTGTCATTCGCTTTGTTGTTGCTAGCATAACAACCATCCTCCTCCCATCAGGCACATCACCTTTTATGTTGGACGCATTTTGCAGTTAAGGTTTTTTACTTCGCTCTTTAATCTGTCATCACACAAAAAATAATAGTAATAATACAACAACTACAACAACAACGATCCACTTTGCCACTTTCACTGCTTAATTGTCGCAAAATTTCTTTGCGCTGCCAGCTTCCAACTTGCAACTTGCCGATGCGCGAGACTCCACAACAAAGAGCCAACTACATAAGTACATATGTAACTATAAATATATATATATATATATAAATATATATGTATGTGTGTGATCTATGAGGCAACGCAATCAGATACTGGCAGATCCATCTCAGTAACTCAAATAATTATGCAGAAAGTTTACAAATACTAAAATGTTTCTTTGTCTCTTTCTAAGGCTCAGAGTACATTTTCTTAAAATGTATCAATAAAATACATTTCTAATTTGCAGTGTGTTTTTTAAATTGTACTTTGAAAGCACTTATGAAGCAATCGTCAGCTAAACTCTTAAACATCTGTCGATAGAGCAAACCTTTGGGGAAATAATAAAGTTGTACAAAATAGGAAAATCTACAAAGATTCTTCTCAGCTTGATTTACTGGAAAATGGCTTTTCTGAATGCAACTAAATTGCATTAAGAATGTAAAAACATTGACGGTTTGTTATATATATATATATATAGTTGTCCGACATTAATAACCTTTTGCTAAAGTTCTGGGAGAATAATAACGCTCGTATTTGGTGAGTTTATTTCGAAGTCTTCGAGTATCTAGAAGACTAAATATGGAAGCTAGATTCTGATAAGAAATGTAATGCTTTTGAAAATCGATTGTGTTGGGTTTTTAGAGTTGATTCCTATATCAATCTCGAATAATATCTATCGAAGTAAAGTTTTAAGCCAGTTTAATTAAGGCTTTGGGCACTTTACTTTCTTCAATTGATAAAAGTTCATCGAACGATTGTAATAATTTCATGATTGGAGGGAAAAACACCGGAAGCACTCTTTTAATGGCCCAACAAACGCTGAAAGCGATTTTCGAACTCGAACTCAAACTCGAACTCGAATTTTCGCTGGAATCGAAACAGAAAATTGGCAATCGACTGCCAGCATTTCTCAATTTGGGGCCACTTACACTTGCAGAGAGTTAGTTAGTTGGCAGCTGCAATTTGAGGAGTCATCAAAAAACTCGGCTCAAAATCAACTTTTTGCTTTTATCTAATCACATGCCGAATGCAGTCAAATTGCACATCCATCCAATGGATGGGTAGAGCTGAGTACTTTGGATACTCCTCTTCCTTTTCCCAAATATTATATGGCAGTGGCAATGGGATCGGCATTTGCACATCCGGTGGCCAAAGTTTTCCGCACTCTCTTTTGTTACACGATTTGTTGTTGTTTTCTGTTTACCAACATGCTCTTTTTTTATGGGTAATTTAAATATCTTTCTTTTTCTTTACGAAACAAGTCGGGTAATTAAAAGTTCATTGTCGTGGTTGTTTATACATGTTGTTGCTGCTGTTGCTGCTGTTGTTGTTGTTTTTCTTAGTTGGCTGCCAACAATGTGGAAACGATTTTGCAATACGCCTGCCCAAAAAAAAAAAAAATAGAAAAAAAATAATAATATTAAAAAACAAAACAAAAATGCAGAAAATGGAAACCCGCCCAGCAAACCAGTTGATGAGACTGCCACACACTCACAAAACGCTTTCAGACAGATACTCGTATCCACCACACACAACCACAAATTTTCCCACATTGAAAATGATGACAAAATATGCTGGAGGAGGCGTCATCAAGTCATCGGCATCGGCATCGCCATCGCCATCGCCAACTCTATCGACATCGTCATCGTCATCGTCATCGTCATTGGCACTCATGATGCTGTTGCTGCAAGTGGCAGGAAAAAGCATACGCCAAGATCACGTACCCAAGTTCCATACTCAACTCATAGTGAAAGTTGCAGCAGCTGCCCGACTCTGGCTCAGACTCTGGCTTGGTCTCTGGCTCTGACTATTGCCAGTGTTGGCCATGGCCCGGCCTGCACCCGTGCCGATACCCCCGCTGCTTGGCTGGCCAATGGCCAATGGCCAATGGCTTGGCTAAGCTGATGACAATTTGCCGTAATTGAACTTGAAGTTGACTCTAGGAAGCAAATGGACTCAATGCAGCTGCGCTGCACCTGCACCAAAGATGCGCCCACCAACAACTCAGTCACGACATTTGCGCAATCAATGAAAGTCTGTCTGTCTGGCTGGCTGTCTGTCTGTGTGGCAACTAACCAAATTAAGCGGCAGTCGCGTGGGGGCGTCAGAGGAGTGCTGCTTATCACAAATGCCAAAGCATTTTAGGGGCCATAATGTGATTAGCGAAAGGGTTGGAAGAGGGGCGGGAGGGGGGACGACCCACAGATAACAATATGATCTTTATTGCGACTAATATTGTGTCTATGTGTGTGTGTGTGTGTGTGTGTGTGTGTGTGTGTGTGTGTGTGTGTGTGTGCAGAACATTTGAAGCTAGACGAAAGTGGGCCCATTGTTGGCTGTTTTTGCCTGTTGCTAAACTTGGAAAGAAAGTGGCGCAACGCGGCACAGTGGACAATGGGTAAAAAAAAAAAAATAAATAAAAAGATAAATGTAAAAAGAATAAAAAAAGGTTAAAAAAGCAGAGAAAAACATACGTGAGCATGGAACGCAACGTTAATGACAGACGAGCGACGAGAAGGAATGCAGCACATAAACTAGATCTTATCGCGCTGATTGCTTGCAAAGCCTCATGCCACATGCCACATGCAACATACATACATAATTGATTGCGACTGAAAAAATGATGCGAAACAAACGTTTTACTAATCGTATGCGATTATCGAGCAACTTTCAAACAAATCGCACGCTGAGCTTGATTCAAATTTGGCACAGATGAGTCAGTTCGATCGGAATTGGCTATATGTATATGTATATATATATATATATATATATGTATGTGCACGCATATATTCTCATACGTATATTTAAATACGGATTTGAAGCTGAATAATAGCTCAAGTCGTAGTTGTATTTTTGTGCTTTTTATATAATAATAACCTACAAAAAGTTGACTTGCTGCATTCTATTCAAAATTAAGCACACAGCTCTTAAAACATATTCTAAAACAAATACAAAACAAGTAAGAATGGTTGAATTTGACACTGGAAGCTGAAGATTGCATACCCTTTTCAACCCCGGCTCAAAATCGACCGTTTGTTATTTATGATACTTTATCAATATCGATGATTTTGTATCTGCAAAATTGACTTGGTATATCTTCTTAAACAGAAAAGTATTTCATGCAAGAACTCAACTTTCGGCCGATTGTTCCCATGAAAGCTATAGGATATTGTAGTCCGATCTCGTTAATTTTGCACCCAAATGTGAGAAGAACGAATATGGAGTAAGTTTGGCCTTGCATATCTTGTTATACAGAAAGGAATTAATTTTTTCACCGATTGTTCGTATATCAGCTATATGATATAGTAATTCGATCCGGTTGTCTTCGGCAATACTATGGATATATGTCTGTCAAGTCTAATGCAGACAGTTTCAAAACTGGGCCAGTAGTTTGCATAGATAAATAGAGAGAGAGAGAGAGAGAGAGACAGACGGACATAACATGATTATAATACCCTCTGCTAGAGTATTAAAAACAAAAATTTGTTCATTTCTACGATTAATAATGTATGCAGTGACCTCAAGCTTTAAAATTTCTTGCTGCGGATTAATCAACTAGCAATAAAAATTGATTAGCATTTGAATTTCGGCATTGATAATATCTTTCCATTTCATTCAATTCGGCGATTTAGCACAAAATTGCTTGCATTTGACACTTTGTATATATATATATATATGTATATATTTATATACATGTTCTTTCACTTTCGTGCCACTGTGCGCGTAACGGCAATTTCAAATACGAATCGAAATACTAAAGGTACGCACAAAAAAAAAGAAAAAAACAAAGAGAAAAACAACAACAAAAAGTCGAGCAGAGCTGTGGATCATAAATCATATAGCAGCATCTATCGCAATTTTCGATCAGTTGAATAGTTGTTGCTTGTTGCGTCGTTGTTGTTGCTGTTGTTGTTGCTGTTGTTGTTGCTGTTGCTGTTTGGGGAACGTGCGACGAGCCGCAAAGCAGGTCAGATGCAGATGCGTGGGGGCCAATTGGCCAATCGGGCCATAGATGGCAAGACAGGTTAATTAACGATTTGTACTAATTAACTTGCGCATCTGCGACAAGGGACAAGGGGGCGTGGGGCAGTTAACGATGTCGTTGCACGCCCAAATTGTCATAAATTGTGCAAAGCAGGGTTGTTATGGGTTAATTATTGGTTGCATGCTTAACTTATTAGTAAGTACTTGCAGTAAGTGCAGTTAGTTAGTTAGTTTTTTGGTTAGTCGTCATTTGGACTGTTGGGTGGATTAGGCTGGCATGCGTCGTCAATAAGTTAGAGCTCAAACTCACCCATGAATTATCTCGGAATTGTGACATATTTCGCGTGGACATTTGGGTGGCCAGTGCCTCCCGATGATAATAACGGCACACAATGTATTGTTAGCAGTTCGGTGTTTGCTTTGCATAAATGGATCTGTTGGAGAATATATATACATATATATACATATACAGCTATGTTTACTACTGTTTTATGTATGAGTGTTGCCGTCTTCGCCGCGTTTACTTTCAATTTCGTTTGCAATTTCTCGCTTTTTTTGCAAACATTTTTTTTTATTTTAATTTTTTTTTTTAGCAGTTTTCGATAACTTTTTTCTTTGCGCTGTTACGGCGGCTTCGGCTTTCATCCAAGCATTTTGTAAGCTAAGCTAAACTGGACACACATACACACACACACACACACTCGCAGATTGCAGTTAAGCGTAACGCATGGAAATGAGCGCCAAAATGTACAACAGAAAATTGAAAAACACACACTGAAAAGAGCGCTCGAGATACTTTGTATCTATATATGAATGCATATATATATATATATAGATATATATATTATTTGTTTTTGTGTTTTTGCAAGCACTCAGCCGAAACTGAGCACAGCGATTATTATGTTTTAATGTTAGGGCATACAGAGCATGTTTATGGCGGAGACAGCACAATGCGGACAAACACACACACACACACACACACACACAGTACACAATACAACACTTGGCCACAGATGCAATTGTTTTACAGCGACAGGTTTGGTTTGAGATACATTTGGGCCGCACTTGAAGCAGCCACAGTTACATACATGCTGATGGGCCACAACCTTGTTGGCTAAAGCAATTTAATTACATTTGGCAGTTGCTGTTGCTATTGCAGTTGCAGTTGCAGTTGCAGTTGCAGTTACCCGTTTCCAGTGGCAGTTTTAGCAGCCGTTTCAAACGATTGAAAAAAAAAAATAACAAAATACCAACAAAAAAAAAAAAACACAACAAGAAGAAAAACACTCGCCGAACGTTGGCAAATAATAAAAGCAGCAACTACAGAAAAAAATGAAGCAAAAATAAGCGCGATAAGCAATTAGCCGAGCGCGGGTTTTGCCCTCAAACGCTCCGAACCGAACTTGTTGACTCTGCGCCGCTTACTAAACAACGACTGCCCCAGTACGATACTCAGCCCGATACTCAGTCAGTACCCCCGCCACTGCCCCACGCCCCTTTGGCCGCCATCGGCCAGCAACTACGAACTTTCTAAACGCTTTTGCGACGCTCATCGCTCATCGCTCATTGCCAGCTCGCTCGCTGCTGCCGATGCCGATGCCAATGCCGCTCTTCAGACTTCATTTTCTGTTAGCGCAAGTGCGCTCGTTCAGAGCCAACAACAGGTGAGCCAAAATGAAACCAGGTTCTCGCCATCGCTTAGCCAATACACCCACCAAACTGCAATGTGCAACGAGTTTACTTTTTACCTTGGCCAGCAAAGCTTTTGGTCCCCAAATGATATATGCCGAAATCGAATGTGTTTTCGGGAATTCATTTTGAAAGATGGAGCTCTCAGCTCTCTCAAGGTATATATTCCATGGACGGGCTTAGAGCAGAGCCAGAACTTTTTTGTTTTTGTAAGACAAGCTTTTTTAAGCCGGACTCGAGAAGTCACAGATATAATTACAGAAATCTAAAGATCGGTCGTACCTTGGCCAACTCACGGAATAATCAGTAATTATTTGGACCACAGACAGTAAATGGCCCATCGATTGTGGTAAAGTATTTTAAGGACTTGATTAAAGGGAAAATTTCTGTTTCATCGGAGAAATCCTTGCACATCCCAGCGAATCCTGTGTCAAACATTTTGTTTTGATCAGGTCAAAGGACATGCAGATCCAAATCGTCCTTGTAGTTTTCAAGAAAACAACCATTATTTTAAGAGTTTACTCTTGTTTAATATTCTGTAAAATAAAATGAAAAAAACTGTCTACAATTGAACAACAAAACATACAAAGTCCTTTATTAGCGGGTGTTTTCTTTTTTTTGTGCATGTGCTTTTTGCGATTGCATTTGCATTTACTCGTAAGTATGTTAAACAAAATTATTAACATTTAATACATTTGTTACATTGGCATTGAATTGGAAGCGACAAATTTAAATTTAAACATTACTTAAGCAGCCCAAAAACAGTGGGGCATAGACATTATTAGACATGATTATTCCTAATATATTTTCATAAATTTATTTCAGCTGCCACATTTTATTCAGTACATAAACATTCATATACATATATCGTTTCGAATGAGATAGAAGAGATAAAAAGAGAGAAATATATAGAGATAGAGAGGGAGAGATAGAGAGAGAGGAGCTTTAGAGCTAGAAAGTTGGCACAACTGTTAATAGTATGTAAATGCAAAGATTGGAATTGTTTGCTATAAAGCTATAAATAAAATAGATGTGCACAAAACAAGTATGTATTGGTATCAAGATGTGGAAGTTAAGATCACCGCGATATTTGAAACCATACACACAAATACATTCACAACAATTACTAACTTTTACTGAAGTCAGAAACCAATATTCTTATTCACTTTATGTCCTGCTGGTTGGCAGTTGAAGTCGTTGTTGTTTTTTTTTCGTTTAATTTGCTTAATTTTTTTTTTTGTTAATATTGCTTGTGTTGCTTAAAGTGGTGCAATGTGCAAAAAGATGAGAACTTAAGTATTTGCTTATTGTTGTGTCAGAAAGTGGTGTGAAAATAATGTAAATTGTTCTTAATATATCATAAGTATGTATGTATATGTATATGTATATTCAATAACTCTGCTATATTCGTTGGCTCTAGGTACACTATATGTTATGTTAAAATATGTGTATGTTTGTCTGTATGCATATATGTAAGTAGGCATTTGCTTGTTTTTTTTTATATGTTTAATTGTTTCTTTGTTTGTTGATTTATAGTTATATCGTCATTTTCTAAAGCTTTCTGTTGTTGTCGCACAATTTGTTGCTACTTTGCTTTCGATCTGTTAACATATGCGATTCGAATTTCGAACTATACATACATAAATTTAATACAATACAATATACGTATAACATAAAACGTTCATTACATATGTAAGTATATATAAATATATGTATTTAAATATATATATATATATGCGTTATATAGTAGTATATGTGCGCTTTTGTATATGTATATAAAGTTTAAAGCTTCTTGTATGAAATGCCGCACAGCGCATTTGTTTATGTATAACTTTTGTTTTTCTTCTTTTTATTCTTTTCATCGTTTGTTTTTCTTGTTTTTTGTTTTTGTTTTGTTACATTTCGCGTTTCACTTAATTAAAACACGGAGCGCATTGTACAACATAAAATTGTTTGGGAAAGGAGGGATTTTTGCAGGAAATAGTACACATAAAACTTAATTAAACGAAACCGTTTGGAACAGGCCAATACAGTTTACGCATGCTTACATACGATATATATATATATATATATTTATTGCAAAATACAATTAGTTAAAAAAAAACGTTTAAAATTTATAGAACATTTCGGGATGCATATCATAATTGTTCTGTTGGTGGCACTAATGATGCGCGAAACGCTAATTAAATGCATACAAAAAAAAATAAATATATATATATATATGTATATATATATATATATGTATATATATATATATATGTGTGTGTATGCATATATATAAGAAAAAAATAGTTAATTAAAAATAACTGTTTTTGTATATTTGAACTAAGTGCAACAAATATCGCTTCCTCGTCTTTGTCATCACCATCATCATCGTATTGTTGCTGTAATTGTTGTTCTAACTGCAGGTCCTGGTATTGTTGTTACTGTTGTTGCTGTTGTTGCTGCTATAGCTGTAGCTGTAGTTGTGAATGGGTTGCTCATTTGTTGCTCCCACAGCAGCAGGTATTTCGGAAATGGCCGTTGTCGGTGTGCTCGCTTTTGATGCAAAGTAAACCTCATAGTTGTAATATCAAAGCTCATCGCTAGTAGCTGGATGCTCCTGCACGTACTCCTTTGGGAAATAGCCAACCTATGGATGGAGTTGAGTTCAATCAATTGATACGTAAAACAAGTAAGTTCTAGTCTAGTGCAAATTTGAATGCAGTATTATTTGAACCGTCAAATTAAATGACTGACAACAGGCATGCAGATCAAGAATATATACTTAATGAGGCTAGGAACTGCCTTCTTCTACTCTGTGTCAAACATTCGGACAACTTAATAAGACTCATTTATAGATGATATTATAGTCGTAATAGTAGATTGAATTGCTTTTGGGCTTACCGTATCACCAATTTTACCACGCCACCAGCCTTTGCTGTCGCCATCCTTGCCAATTACAAGTACCTGGCAATCGGTACGCAGTTGCAGCTGATTGCTGCCCGCCTTCGGATCAAAGTCGTATAGGGCGGTGGCGATGACCTCGCGATAGGGCCACTGCAATGACTGATTGAGCCTGATACCACACGGAAGGAACAATGTTAATTCGAGTTGTTCAATCAAAGCTACTGATGACTGAAAGGCTTGCTTACCCGGCAAAGTTTTCACCCAGATCGTTACGCTCATAATATGAAACCAGCTCGACAATGGTCTTGAAATGGCGACGGGAGGATAAACAATACAGCATGGACTCGCCATCGTTTTCCTGATTGATTTTCATGTGCTTAATGACATGATCATCGGTTCTACGAAGACAATCAAAGAGAGTGAGAGATTTAATATTGTGGGATCTGAGTTGATTTAATTTGCACTCACTTCAAACTGAGCGCATACATCGTCTCGTGCGGTGAGGAGGCACCCTGTGGACGCACACGGAGCAGATAGGTGCCAATGCGTCGATTTTCCAATCTATTGGCGGCTGTCTCGCGATCCATGTTGCCCACGAACCAATTAAACTCGGACAATTGGCGATCGCAGACGGGCGGCGGTATGCTAACCGGATTCTGTTTGCAGCGTCCCGTCGATGAGATGCAGCCACGATGCACACTTATCTGGCACACCTTGCACCGATAGCCTTGATGGATGCGACCCTTAAGAAACTTCGAGCAATGCCGGCATGTTGTGGGCGCATCAAAGGTGTAGATTTCCATTTTATGATCCGTATTGCGACAACCAGGCGGATCAAGGCTTTCCCTGTAACAGGAAGAAAGAAATCTTTAATTAATCATATCCTAATATTTGCATCACTTCAACACTTACATGGCTTCGGTCAGTGCCTTGCGCCACTTGTCCCGCTCGTGCTCCGACTTCAGATATAGGGTAAAGGCAGTCTTGGCCGACTTGCGTGCGAGCAGCAGCTGATATTTGAAGCGCGTATCGCGTCCAAGGGTGCGACGCGAATGACTCTGCTCGACCCGATAGTCGGCGAGGTTGTGCGAGTCGCGATATGTGTACTGCATGTCGCCGGTTTTAATGTGTAGCGCCTTGACCAGTATGAGAATCTTGTCAAAGACAAACGCGTAACGCATTTTAGTCTTCTGATCCTCGTGCGCTTTAATATGCAGATCGCCGTCGAGCAATAGGCGACCATATTGCAGTAGATCGTTGCCATTTTGCGGCAGATTTAAATCAAATATGCTGTCCTTGACCTTTTGTATGATGACCAGATGATCGGAATCGCGCTTAACTTCGTTAATGTATTGCGACACATCGATCATGGCATCTTTGGCACGCTCCAGCGAACGATAGTCCTCGTGCAATGGCGACGTCTCCTTCACCAGCTTGTCCAGCAACAGGTGGTACTTAAGTATGCGCTGCATCGGCACCGACAGGATATCCCGCAGCTGCAGCTTGCCCACATTGTATTCACGTTCGCATTTCTGCACCAGCTGGTCAATTATTTGGTTCTTCTTGCACACATCGGCCAGATAATCGATGGCGTTCAGCAGGCAGGAGCAATACTCGCCATAGATGAGAAAGGGTTCGCGAAAATCAAGGAATACCTGTCCCATTTTATGCTTTGTGTTTGGCATCACCGATTCGTGCAGCTTCTCCAGAAACTTGGTGTGAATGTCAGCCAGTTCCTAGCATAAGAGAAATCACATTCATTTTACTTATATGTACAGTGTGAAAGCATGCAATGCTCACCCGAATGCGCGGAAAGATGAGACGCAGTTCGTCCTGATTGAGATGACGCTCGAGTGGCAGCATAAATTTGGCCTTTAGCGCATTGAGCACATCCAGATAGTTGGACTCGGTGTCGATGAGCTCGCGTATGACATAATCGCGCTGCTCAAAGCTAGTCGCCGATGTGGTCTAAGAGAACGGGTAGGGAAAAGATGGGCAACCGTTAGTCAATTTGAGCTGAGATTAGGCAACAGCCTCGTCACAAGAGTCATGCAACAAAGCATACACTTAACAATGTTTGGCAGGCTATTTAGATAATGTATAAAGTTGAACCAAATTACTACCTGGCCTCTACTCGTTCTGTGCAGCGCACACAAATCTTGATAGACCTCCTCTTCCTTTGTGTTGGTGTGATCATAAGCGGTTCCATTGCATGCAATATTGTCGTTGGTACTATATGAAACACAAAAAAATAAAATAAACAAAATAAATCATAAACGAAAAAACTGATAACGAATGCAAAATAGTAAGCAAAGTAAACATATTTCTAAATTCAAATGAAAATCATTTAGCGCTTACTGGTCTACAAGAAATAAAATATATCGTTTACACAGCGAAAGATATCGATAAATCGATACAACACACATGTGCCTCATCGCTTAAGCACACCATCTCGATTAACAGTGTCATGTTAATTTAACATACAACGCAAATAACCAGGGCAGGCAGCAAACCGCAACAGCAACAGCAATAGCAGCCAAGCATCCAATTTCGACTTTTTTTGTTCGTTTATTTTATTGTGCACGTGCGTTGAAAGCATTTTGAAGCGCTAACTGCGCAATGGATCATCACACATATGCAAAAAGTGGCTCCAAGAAGTGTAAGCAATGCAAATGCATTTGCATCAACTGGCTAACCGTAAGAATCACAATTGCAGGGTCTGTCGAAGAGAAGCGTCTACTTGTGACCAAGCGCATCGAAGCCGAAGATTTATTTTCCAAATATTCATCCAAGCAAGCAGAGCCATGGAAGTAAGTTTCACATGTTGCAAAGCATTGAACATACATTTCCTTTGTTATTCTTGTTCTTGTTTGTTGTTCTTGTTGTTTTTGCCTTGCAGAAAATTCAAGGACATGGCCAAAATTGGCGATTACAGTGAACGCGCGCTGCGCAAACAGTGGCTGAATATGGTGCAACGCTATCGCGTCCAGAAATCCACTATGCAGGTGACGCTGCTTAGCAAACAGTGCATCGATGTGCTCAACGAGGAGTGGGAATACTTTGGCGAGATACACGCCTACATGAACCAGAAGACCACCGATCTGCACTCGTATGCGCTCAAGGAGCCCAACGTCCTGCCCGAACACTCCAACAACAACAACAGCAATGGCAGCGGCAACAATAATTTGGCCATGCTGGGCGTCGTCAATGATCACAGCTTTTGTGCATCGACTAGAGCTGCTAAATCAGAGTTGAGTGCGCCTGCTGTGGTCATTAAAGAGGAGGTGGACTCGCTTGATGTGTCAGATGAGGGACAGCAGGAGTCTGTGGACTTCGGCGACATTATAATTTCGCAACCCAATAATGAATTCAATACGGTGGCCGGCGAGGGCTCACAGTCAACGATGTACAGCGACTCGGAGTCAGAGGAGAGCTCACAGCCGTCTGATCCGGTGACCGTTGAGGTGTCCGACTTGTCGGAAGTAGATGCCATCATGGGATCACCATTGTCAGCAAAATTCGCCGCAGATGTATGTGAGGCCAGCACAGCGGAACAGATACCCGCATCCTTTGAAACAGCGTCTGTGTCAATGCCGAGGGATGAGCAGACGGCGGCCAAGTCATGGGCCCGCTGGACAGCGAGATTAGCAACACTCGTCGAACAGACGACGGCACCCACCAAGCCGATGAAAAGAAAGCGCAAGGCAATGAGCGAACGGGATAAATATTATAGACATCGACGCCGCTACGAGCATCGCATGGAGTTGCGTCTGGGCAATCTTTGCAAAGTGGCCGGACAACTTTTGGAGCATTTGGTGCCTGGCATGAATGTGACGCCGCTGCTGATGAATATCAATAACAACGTCGACTACAACTGTACGAGCAGTTGTGACGATGGCGATGACGACACCGAGGATGATGACGATAATGATGACAAAGATGGCCAGCAATAAGTTGGCACCAAATGATTTGGATGCAAGCTTAAGATGCTAAACAGATCATGTTCCTCTCACTAAGAATCAATCATATGTATATACATATATATATATATATCTATATCTATATATATATATATATATCTGTATAAGTGGGACTAAAATGAAGACTAGTTTAGTTCGGAGTTGGAGATATTAGTATATTTTGTTGTGTTTATACCCTGAACCCATTAAAAATGGGTAAAAAGGATAGGATTGTTTTGTGCACACGTATGTAACAGGCAGAAGGAAGCATCTCCGATCCCATAAAAAATATATATTCTTGATCAGGGTCAACAGCCGAGTCGATATACCAATGTCCGTCTGTCTGTCCGTCCGTCCGTCTGTCCGTCTGTATGAACACACAGATCTCCGAGACTATTAGATCTAGAGACTTCAAATTTGGAATATAGGTTCTCGTATTCCAGGCGCAGATCAAGTTTGCTTTATTTTTATCAATAACTGCCTCCGTTTCTCGATTATCGATATACTTAAATTTCATATAGCAATAAATGCAATAATTTTAAAGGCAGAATCTTCTAATTAATCAACTGTCCAAATTTCATCAGGATCGTATATGAAAGACCCAAGATATAGTCGAAAATATATTCTCATATTGCCCACATTTTGGTCCAAAACTTTTAAAGGGAAATTTTCCAATTACAACTGGGTTCAGGGTAAATCGTAGTCGAGCACACTCGACTACAGTATTCTTACTTGTTTTAGGTTATACTATTTAATGTTGACTAATTAGCGCCTTCATCCGAACTGAAGATGTCTGTGCCTATCTCGATCCCACACATATGTACAAATAATATATATATATATATATACGTATACATGTATCTATATGTTCAAATATGTATATAGTAAACACTTACACATACACACACACACACACAGAACACTATCCTGGCTGTTATTTTACCAAGCGACTGAGCGATTAAGCTTAGACGGCTAAGCGATTTTACTACAAAATGTCTGTTGTCTAGTCAAATTCGACATTCAAATATAGACATATTTATTAAGCTCGTATATTGAACGTAATGTATCCAAGCCTAAAATGGATAAAGCAAAACAAAAACGAATCGCTTGGCGAGTTCCTCATAATTAAAAAATAAAGAAAATCGACCAAAATTGCTAGTCGCGCAGCCTAAAGGAGAGGATACACCCAGAGGTAACTGGAGACGTAGACGGAGACTGGGGGACGGTCACGACAGGTTACAAAATGGAACTGTATTTAAAGAAAAGACTTAAAAAGCACGAAACGCTCAGCGCTAGATAGTTCAAAGTACGATCTCCTCGAGGTCACAAGGAATTTTTGTAGATACTCGCTTATTGTTAATGGAAATCAAATAAAAAGTAAAAATATAAAAATACACACACACACATACACGGACACATTTACGAAATATGCATAAATATGTATGTAAATAATAGCAGCAGCAGCAGGAAATAAAATTGCATTAATTGTTAAACAATTTGGTTGTTGTTGAAAAACTAAAGATGTGGCAAAAATGGAAAGACTTTTGCGGATTGCAATTTGTCATTCAATTGGAAATTGTAACGAATGTTTTAGTAAACACACACACACACACTCTGATATATATGATAGATATATAAATATATATATATATCGAGCTACTCAATAAACTAATTGTATTTGATCGTTCTAAGAGTTGCCATGTGTTATGCTTGAAATGGACTTGAGATACTATTACTTGAACTATGATCATATTTAGTATAGCTATGTATATGGTTAAATCACAGAGTGTGATTACAAAACGATGATCTCAAAATAAATGTGGTTCAAAAACTACTGCAGAGATGGAAAAGTGTTTGCTTACAATATAGAATATTGGAACTGGAGTTGAAACCGTAATGAGTTATGCGGGACATGCAGATACAAAGTATATGAGGGGGGTGCATGGGAGATACCCATTTGGTTAGCTCTTATCTGAAGCTGGTGAAAAAAAACCAAAATTTTGGATCGATATCAATTTTGGGCTGTATCCGCCTGCAGTGCTGATGACTCACTTAATTCGTGACTCGCATAATTGCTATTATATAAGCCCAAAAGTAACGGAATTCGCGAACAAAGAAGAGGAATACGTTGCCATTTCCGCTTGTAGCGTTTACCATTTTAGCCGAAATGGAATTGCATTATGTATGATGTGCGAACGGGGTCCCCGTTCAGAGAGAAAACAAAGAGATAACAAGAGAAAGAAACATAGAGAGAAAGCAAAAGCAAATAGGAACCAAGAAGAAGAAGGCAAAAACATAAACCGACATCTAATAGCCTTGAGACTTGCAGTGCAGGTGGATCTTGTGAATGTTCGTATTATATATGGTAAATGGTATGGGGCATGTGCGATTTATTTGGGATTTATACTGGGGGATTGGTACAGTGGTCGCTCGCAATGTAATACATTTCGGTTTTGCGGATTATTAAAGATTAAAGATTATAGGTTGCAAAACACTTTAATAGTTTTTGAAATCGAAACTTAATATAACAAGAAAAAAAAGATGATTTTAATGCTTAATCATTTTAGAATTTCTATAAATTGATAAATAAGAAAAGGAAAACAAGTTCAAGTGCTGGTAAATAAAATATACAAATCAATAACTAGTTCTCATTTTGTGAATGTGAAATTAACAATTTTAATATCTGATCAATGTCGATTTTGTTGTAATTTGCAAGAGAGCACTGTTGGTATACATGGTATATGGGTATATGGGTATATGGTATATGGGTATATGGTATATGGGTATATGGTATATGGGTATATGGTATATGGTATATGGTATATGGTATATGGGTATGTACATATGCACATATGTATGTGTGTGACTGGAGTGGGTTCGTTAGCATTGCGTTAGTGTGATATTGAACTGTGAAGCTGTGAAGCAGATATAGCCAGTTTGCATACATACATACATATACGAGTAGAGTCAAGGTGGTTCGCAAGTGGCAGGTTGCAAGTTGCACGTTGCAAGTAACAAGCAAGCGGTCGTGGTACAGGTACAGGTGGTTATGGGTGGTTAATTGATTGATTGATTGATTGATTGGTTGGTTGGTTGGTGGTATACAGAGTTTTAGAAACGAGTACTAGTATGTGTGAAAAGAGAGAGCGAGACAGAGAGAGAGAGAGAGAAAGAGAGATAGAGAGAGAGAGTAGGGAGTATATGGCAGCACACCTCTGGTTTGACCTTTGACTGGAACGTAACGTAGCACAGATCCTCGTAGACCTTCTCGTCATCCTCGCTGTAGATGTCATTGATGTAGGCGTACTCGTGCTCATTTCCATGCGCCGGCTCCGTGGACATTAGCAGCGATGAGCGATAATTGTAAACGGCAGCAGCGGCACGCTGCAAACGCTGGCTCTCGCTCAAGAACAGCAGCGACGACGATGATGAGCTGCTGGACGGATAGTGCCGCCCATCAAAGCTATAATTTGTGCCCGCCAATGATGAGGCTTCAGAGGATGCTGACACTGCTGCCGCTGCTGCTGCTGCTGAGGTGCTGGCCCTGGGCGAGTCCATTTGGGGTGTGGGCGTCACACAGTCGGCTGTGCTGCTGCTGCTGGCCACGCTGAGCGTCAGATCGAAGGAGAGAGCACGCAACTGTCCCTGGACGGATCGATGCACAAGATCAACGTTGATGGCATCCGGATCAATTGTCGAATCGCACATGTTCGACAGTGAATCCTCGATATAATCGTCAATGTCCTCGGTGCCATTCTCGATCGTTATGTCGCTATTCTCATCTTCGACGGAGAGCGAGCCGCTGTGCGAGGTGTGCTCGTAATAATCCGAGGACGAGGATCCAGCTGCATCCAAACTGCCCGTTGTCTTGAATTGATTGCTGCTAGCCGTTGATTGTGGTGGGTGATGCGCGGTGCGGGCATGGTGGGGTGCAGACAAGCGTGCGGGCAGACGAAACACACACACACACGCACACATAGAGGGGGATGGGGAAGTTATGCGATATTCAGTGAACATTTTTTTTTGGGGCAGCGAGTGAGTAAATCAGAGATAGTGACAGTGAGATAGAGAGAGAGAGAGTGGTACAGACAGGCGGATAGAGAGACATAGGGGGAGGGAAAAAGAGAGGAATAGAGAGAGAGAGAGAGGAAGAGAGAAAGAGAGAGAGAGAGAGCGTTAGATAAAGCTTGGGCATGGATATTATGTTGTTGTTCTTGTTGGTTTTTTATTTGTGTTACTGTATTTGTTGTTGTTGTTGTTGATAAGCGGTCAGACAAGGGCTTAAGCGGGTTCTCGGAACAGACGTGAGCGCATAATAAGACTATAGAGACTGCAGATCCGAACAAAGTGCTTCTCAAACAGGAAATGCGAAATACGAAAAGAAATAAAACAAAAAACCAACGCATTTTAACTTGCAGCAGCTGCAAGGCGACGAAGAGATTGGGTTAGAATGGGGGGTGGGCAGAGTGCCAGGGCGTCATGAGGGAGACAGACAGGGTGAGCGGTGGGTCGGGGGCGTGGACGTTGTGGCATAGAAAACGAACTAATGATAACAAAAACAAAAACAGAAAAAAAAAACACAGAAAGCAACACACTTACGTGGAATGCAAATCCTTGTAGATGGCCTCATCCGAATGGGAACGCTCGCTGGGCGACACTTGCAAATTGAAGCCGCTGCAAATACAACAAATATAGCCAAGTTAGCACTTAATATTTGCAAGCTCATAAAATGAATACTTACAGCAGATCTGGATGCATTTGCTGCACCTTGCGGCACTGCGACAGCTTGGAGAGCGTGATGAGCACTCGATGGAAGTTGGTTAAGTCATAGAGCATCGTTGGCTCAAAGAGATCCGCATCACGTATGTTGAAATGATTGTGGCACACATCCAGAAATAGTTTAATATTCTTGCAGCACAGAAACTGAAAGCAACCAATCAACAATAATTGAACAACGCTCGTATATATCGTATATATATATGTGTATCTGATGTATATCTATTCACCTGGGCCATTTGGGGCTTGCGATTGAATTCGCGTGCATTCATGCTGCTTGCATCCAGATGGATGATCAGATTGCAGAGCAGGACACCGTCGCGCAGTGTCATGGCCAGTATGCGTATCTCGGCGTCGGGCAGAGCGGCCTTGTGGTCAGCGGGTATAACCTTGCAGCGCACCAGCCACGCAACGCATTCGCGCCACAAATCTGCATTGACACCAGCCGCCGCCGCTGCTGCTGCTGCTGCCGAGGCAGTCGCAGAAACTGAGGTCGAGGTCAGCGCGGCTGCAGTGCCAGCAATGCTGCCAAAACTGTTGGTGGCCATCGTTTGTCAATGGATTTGGAGGGGTTGCAGCTGGCTCTAGAAACTGGGGCGTGTTGTTTGCAGGTGCTGCTGGCGCTGCTGCTGCGGGTGTTGTTGCTGTTAAAGTGCTTCAACTGTTAACGGTTGGGGCGGATCGGGTAGCAGTGACGGTGACGGGGCGTCGATTAGGGCGTGCGGCGCGCGCATAAATTTTTCTTTTTTTTTTTTGCTGTTGCGTTTAATGAAAACAATTGAAATTCATCAGTTGGCCGTTGCGCGTTGCCGTCAACAGATACACAGTAACAACAACAACAAGAATAACAAGAGCAACAACAATATGCACAAGAACAACAACACAGACTGCGACGGCGACGGCGACAGCAACGGGAAATCGCACTAAAAACAACAACGATTTGATGCGAACGCGAGCGGTCGGACGCTCATTTGATTTCTTCTCTATATTCAATTGATATTTGCTATTCCACACTTCATAGATTGCACGGAGGCGCTTACATACACACACACACACACAACACAACATACACATGCACCCGCACGCACGCACGCACACATACATTCAAATAAACATGCACGCATACAGCTGAAGAGGATGCGATTTCGGTTGTTGTTAATATCGATTGGTTACTTCTTGTTTTTGCTGCTATCGATATTTCGATATTAATTGTACTAAAGTTAACAGTTGATCCAAATTAAATTGCATTCTTTGTGCCATTTTTTACAAAATTTAGATCAATTCTTTATTTAAATCAACTAATTTAGTTGATGGCCAAAGAGCACTGTTAGCCCACATACCCACTGTGAAACTCAAAATGGTACTGTTTTACTCAAAATGGTACTGAAATGAATTTCATATTGCGATATATTTTATCGATTAAAATGGCAACGCTGTACACATTGTAGCATTTTTGTTTATCGTGCTTTATTTAAAACAGAATTCATGATTCTTCAAATGATAACTGAATGCATATTGAACACGAGTTTGATAGAAGATAAGTTAAAATAATATGTTCGCAAACCAAATGTTAGTGATTAATTTAAAAAGGTGGTAAAATAACATTACATACATAACATATATATTTAAATTGTTGATATATACGTATTTCGAAAGGGAACAATTTTAAATTTGTGCAATATAGTTCTGACGGTTGATATAGGCATTGTATTGTAAGAACTTTGCAAAATATGGGCAGCTCATTTCCCTCTTCATTTTAAAACAAGAGCAATATATTAAAATTACGCTCAAAGTAAATTGTTTTCATTTACGACTATCGCCAGCTGGACCAGATCTGAGCCAATTTGGAGCTGTGCGGGAACAAAAGCCGCACTCGAAGTATGAAATATGGTTCAGAAGCTCTTGTCGTGGTATGGCCAGCGCAGCTGTATTTTATAGTTGTCTGCAGTGGTCGTAAACAAAGCATGAGCAGCAACAGCAACAGCATCAAAAAAAAATAAATAAAAATAAAATAAAGAAAACGAATTTAAGCTTCGATAAACAAAACTAATCCGAAACGAGGTGGTTTCCATTGCTCATGTGCACCTAACAGCGACAACAATAAGGGCAAGTGCGGCGTGGGTTGCATGACACTAACTTTTCATACCCTGCACCCAGTTGAAATGGGTGTTAACAAGTAATGTAAATGAATGTAACAGTTTAACAGAAGAATGCATCTTCGACCAAATAATGTATATATTCTCTACATAAAAAAACCATCTGCTCCGGATAGAGTCCTTAGAAGAGAAATCTCTTTATCTGCTCGATCGTCGAAGGAAGTATTTTATTTTCAAGTTCCGTGATAAATTGATTCACTTGAATATCCACTTCTCGTAGCGCTTACAATCACTGTGTAATTATTTTGCAAGTGTTTTCTGCTCAAATGTAGGTTCCAAGTTGGGCTGCTCTCTATTTTTTCGCTGCTCAAGCAGCGAGCAGATGAACTCACACGTCTGCCCACATTTGTTGTGTTATTGGAAATGAGTGACGCATTTAAATATAGTATTAAATAATATATTTTTGTTTGCTTCGAAAATGTTTATTTAAAGTGCATTTTGATTGCATATTTTCTGTGCCAATAAAAAGTGTGGTGTTAAGTGAAAGAAAGTGCTATATTGTTCCTGCTACGAAATGCCAGAGAGGATTTTTTTGTTGCTGGTATTTCATTTTCATTTCCACACATACCAAAATATTTAATATGAAAATTCTCTAATCACAATTGGTTGATTGAATTGATTTTTATAAAGTTATCCCACTATTTTTGAATAGCATGTGCACATATACATATATATTACAAATCGGATGCTTCCTCTCGGCTCTGTCAAGAATCAGACAAATTTTATTTTGTATGCTATGGCTGGGTATGGGGTATTCCTTAGTCCATAACTCTCAACTCGAGCAAACAGTTTGAATAGCATGTGCACATATACATATATATTACAAATCGGATGCTTCCTCTCGGCTCTGTCAAGAATCAGACAAATTTTATTTTGTATGCTATGGCTGGGTATAGGGTATTCCTTAGTCCATAACTCTCAACTCGAGCAAGCAGTTTTTTATATATTAATTTGCAAACGCCAGGAATGCAAGGAAAAAAAGAACGATAAATTATGAGCTTGAAATAAAACAAAAAGCGCAAATTGAACTCGGCGTAAATTAAAAACAAAAATGGAAGCAGCGCAAAATAAAAAAAGACCACATCACAGCAGAGGCGGCAACACCTGTACAAGCATACGTACAACTGCGATATGTACATGGATATGTAGACATGCATACCTTAACATGACCAGGGGCACAAACAATTTGACGGCCTGTCGGGATGTCAGCCTGGAGCTGGCCGGTAGCCTGGGATGCGTGCCGAAATCAAAGATAACGACTCATCAACGGCGTCATAAAAACGTGACATCAATTTTATTGCTGCGGGACGTCAGCAACAGCAACATAAACAAAGAAAAAACAAAAAGGCAGCAGCAGCAGCAACAAAAACGGCGATGGCGACGTCATCGTTCGCGCGTCGCGACGCAAAAGGTCACGTAAAAGGCAAAGCCAAAGCCAAAGCCAAACGGCAGAGCAGAGCAAAAATCTTAGCAGGGCAAATCAAAGTAATGGCGGCGACAGCGACGCGCGAAAAAGTATTGTGCCATAAGCTGCGGGACAAAAACTAACATAACGCGACGCAAGCTCAACAGCAAAAAAAAAGAAGAAAATACAGCCCACTTCACACGCTTAGAGATGATGATTAAAATAATTTGCACATTTAAAACACTTGGATACTATCGTGTTTTTTTGTTTGATTATACATTTTTTGTTTTGTTTCCCAATCATGTTTTTTCCTGAAAATGTGGTTGTGATTCAAGCATTCAGCGATCTATAAGCGTGTGAGCAGCATAGTATTTGTACAATCAAATTCTTATTGATGTTTGTTTTTGTTGCTTCGACTGCGCAGCCAAAAGGGCGCCAGCAGAACGCACAAGGAGCTAGCAAAAGTAAATGGAAAGGCGCAGGCGACAAATGTGTTGCTTACGTAAACTATTTAACGCAGTAATCGAAATACATACACAATTGCACACAACTTAGCTGTACTGCTTCAGTTTCATTGCATATGCTTGCTTACTGTTTTGCTATGCACAGTTTCTCCCTGGCAACCTGCCGTCCAATTATGTAGCAGCAGCTGAATTGCTTCAAGCATGGAGCGCAATCGATTGTTATGCGTTGGGCATTTTTAAATGGGAACTTCTTAAGAATTTACCTTACCATAAAAGTTGCTTTAATACATCCGTATTCTTAGTTTTAATTACTCTTTGTTTCCTCTTCTTTTTATGTCCGTAACTCAACCTGGTGCGGTGAATTAATTAGTCTAGAACTCCAATTGCACAAATAAATAATTAATTTGTGAAGCAATTTTATTGTGCATATCCTTTCACAGAACTAACAGAAACAGTAGTAAAAACAAAAAAAATAAGAGAGAAAGAGAGAGAGAAAGCGAGAGGGATGGAAGGAGAGGGAGTAATAACAATACAAACGGAGTAAGCTGTATAAGAAATAACAGTTCATTCTTCACTCAGTCCATTTGTCTGATTAATTATTGAACGTTCCCCAGACGCGCATTAAAATTCATTTGATGCGTTTCTTGTCGCCTGTGCCAAATTTTGTTACTCTGCCACTTTCTTTTGCTTCAATACACTGAGCGAAAAGAAAGCTAACGGAGTGTATACTAATTTTGCTATATATTGAACTCAAGTTTTACTTTACTCGCCGTCTGTATTTATTTATTTATTTTTTTTTTATGGCTGCAGGGTATCTTCGATCCCAGAACTCGCGACTGGAGTTGTTTCTTGCTTTTATGTTTTTATTTTTTTATTTTATATATTTTATGCTGTCGTTTTGTGCACAGCGAATATTCCAAGTATTTAGGACAAGTTTTTTGGTAGTAGCAACATAAATAAATAAATGAAATCAATTCGCTGTTCGTTTTCGGGGCAGCGCTTGCGATATGGGTTACGAATTGCTCATAATCCTGAATGAAATGGAGTGGAGTGGAGTGGAGTGGTCTGGAGTAGAGTGGAGTGGAGTTGCTGGATGGTCTGCACTGCTGATGAGAAGATCGTGGAGGGAGGGAATTGTAGCGTAGGGGCACCCAGTTGCTGATTGCCGGCGGACGCTCCCCGACGTCTGACGCCGTCGCCTGCCAGCTGTCGAGAACCCAGTCACGCCGCCCACGCACGCACCAAGTTGATTAATTGTCATCGTCGTCGTTGCTGCTATAAAAATACAAATACAGTAGTCGCTTGGCAGTCCGCACTTGACTTGGCAGAATCATTTTCAGTACATTTCAAATGGGTGCGTTTACGGAACATTTTCGGTTGTCAAACTGATCCGAATGCAAAGCAATTGCACAAGACATGTACCAACGTGGCTAGTGTGAAGAGCAGCATTCGTATTATCGAGCCAACACTGTGGCACAACCAACAAAAGTGCCTCAAATCACGTACAACAGCGAATGTCGCAGCTGAAACGGCTTACAGAGGTCAATGGGAACAGTGGGTGGAGGCAGGTTGATTGGGCGTTGCTCAAATGGGCGTCAAGTCTCAGGTAGCTACTTAGATTTCGTTTGTGGCTGCTGCTGTCGCTGCTGTTGTTATTGTTGTTGTTATTGTTGTTGTTGCTGCTCGCATTAACATAAATAAATCACTTGGCGCCATCAATCAGTCTGTTTGCATTTGGCCACAGAAAGCCAAACGCCGCCAAGCAGCACATTGCACACACATACACACACACACATATATATATATATATATGTATAAATATAAGCAGACACACACTCACCC